AAGAAAAAAGAATAAGTTTGGTATTGGAACTGTTTATTCCGGGACCCCATATTGATATGAGAATTTATTCGGAAGATAGATTACTTGTATGTTATAGTTGATATTTGTTCAGTGCAAAATTGGGATGAAGTTGATAGTCATCCATAGTAATCCTATGATACCCTGAAAAATCGGGGCCCTTTCATCTGGGAGTTTGTTGTGAATCTATCTCAAGCCAGCTAAACAATGCTAAACATGGTGCTGATGATAGTTCAAGAACCACATCCAAGGTGCTCATCTACACCCTGGGGTTACGTCCATTAGTTGGGCTACTTAGATACTGCAATCCCCATGACAACTTGTGTTGGAACCTCACCGCAGATGACTTAGCTGCTTACCAGTACCTCAACGAGGTCTTCGTGGTGCTGACATGGATTCTCACCTCAGCGGTTTTTGACAAAAATTGAAGTGTGAGTAATTGCGAGTCCTATGTTTGAAACTCAGGCGCGTCGAAACCCATGGGAGAATTTGTGTTTATTCGTTTTGAATTTTGTTCAATTTTCGTCAACTTCTTGCCGCTTGCCATGGTGATGTCGTTTCTCAATGGTGCTGCAGAAGCCTTGGTGCTCAAGGAATGCCTTACCTGTCTTGGCCACGGCCCTGGTGACGCCACATCCAAAGCTTGGTGACTATCGTTTTCCCCGCAGCCACCTGGGATTTTGGAGGATATAGCCGCTATAGCCGATTTTCAGACACAGCCACGCCGCATCATCCATTGGAAATGGAAGTGCTCAGGTGGTGCTGATGTCCTGCATTGCGTGTTGCGCCATTCTTGACAGATACATGAGGCGGGCAATGGGTTGCCGACAGGGGCTGGATTTGCTGAACTCCCACTCAATGGTCCTGACCCAGAAGAATGGAGTGAAAACCAAGGGGGTAAAGGTATCGAAATTAGAAATATCCTTCAATGCAGCAGTATAGCCAAGGTGAACTGAGAATCAGTGGGAGCAGACAACAACACATCGTCTATGCTTAGCAAATTTTGGCTAGGATAATGTATGTATCCAAATTGAATGATTACATGTAACTACCCACGAATTTGACCAGAGATTTGCGGTCGGGTCTTCTGAGCCAGGTCCAGGATGCATCTTTGGCCCAAGGCTGTGGACTTTTATGCCAAGGTGGACCGGGTTTCAGGATCGACTGTGTGTCAACTTCGTGGGGATTGTTCCAAAAAGTTGGATGAAATTGGCTGGTGGTTGGTTTGAAACATTTAGGACTGATCTATCCATACTTGGGATGATTTGAGGCCAATGTGTATGGTATGTTTTGGGACCGGTTGAAGCCACAGGGGCCAGAATTCCGAAGGCAAAGTGCTTTTTTTTTGCCACCTACTGTAGTCCAATTATCCAATTGTCCAATACTTATACTATAAGAGGGGCAAAGCCGCTTCTAGCCCACCTCCCATGGCTCAAGATGGTGAAGACAACGAATAAATTTGACACTGAGTCACTGTTCGTAAATCATAAGTATTTTAATGCACAGCTCATCAAGCAAAATTTAGATTCTTCCATCACTCAGTGGGGGCATGGCCAATAGAAGCCCATCCCTGATCATCAATAAATCCCTCATTTTTGGCATCCCTAGACATGAATATAGAGATCGAATACACTCCACCCGGCTTTCGTTGTTTGCCGGTGGTTTTATGTTGGCGGGAAGAGGTTTGACTCAACGAACCAATTTTGGTGCCAATGTTGACTGTCAGAAACATGGGAGCCATAGCAAGTTCAAAACGTCCCCATTTCACTGGCTTCCTGAAACCTATGAATACTGCACTATACTGCCATGAAGCAGGAGACTATGTCACTATGTCATCATACGCTATTTGTTTGGTTATTTGAAATAGTAATAGCTATGGTACAAGATTGACAAGATCCGCCGGTGGTTTGGATCACAGGCTTTGGCCCGTGGGAGAACTCGCACAACAGGTGAGCATTTTTGGAAGCGCTGTGGCTCATTTCTGGCACGTGGGCGCCTTGGTTCTTGCAGCTGCAGCCATGGGAATCCACTGAATCCACTGGAGGTGGACAGCCACACCGTCTACATCCAGCTAGCACGGAAGAGAGTGCTCCATGGCCACAGTGGCTTCCAACGTCTGTTTGGATCTCTTTGGATCTGTTTGGTGGAGTGAGTTGCATGAGTGAAGCGACAAAAGCGGATATCGACTCACAGCAGAAACGGAGGCTGCCTTGTATCATCCCGCAACCATAATTAGAGGGCTGTCACAGTGACTCTGCAGGTTGTGAAAACATCCCACCCATTTGGCTGCGAGATCGGTTTAAAAGCCATGCGTACTTGTAAAACCTTGACGGTCCACCCTCGACATGACATGTCAAGAAATGTTCAAGATTTTTAGAAATTGCTACTGGGGTTCGGTCAGAATTAACAGCATAGCCGCCATTTCGATCAGCTGTTGTTTTTGGTGGTGGACCATGACCAGTTTTCCTCAGGTTAGGCCTTTTCTGGCCCTTGAAGTATGCCAACTCCTTCGCAAGGACTGGATTTTTTGGAGCAGAATGCTGCAGAACTACGCTGCGGTTGAAATTCACGGCAACAATTCAGGATAGAGATCACAAGCGACAGATCATAGCAAAGTTCAATGCCTTCTGCCAGAGGATTGTAATGGATTGTATATCCTGTATATCTCATTTGTTATGCCATGGGACAGCCAGCAATCAGTGGCTTCCATGTTCCATCACTTTCCATGTTTGTTCCAACACAGACCACGGTAACCCTCTGAGGAGTTCGTGGCCCGTTTTGAAGCATCGCACATTTCTGGCCGACCACGCACCTGCCATGGGGCCTACACTGAAGGGGGCTGGTGAGGTGGTAGACAGCTGCTACTTAGCATCTTTTAATATCTTCTAGTTTCATGATGATTCAAAGGCAAGAAATCATGATGTGGATTGATCGGGTGCGTCCACAGGACAAACAGGTTGACAGCATATCCTGAACAAGTTGTGGTGCTGTCCCCGCATGTGTTGAGAAGGAACGTGCTTTGTCTTTTGTTTTTGTTGTTGTTGTTGCTGTTGCTGTTGCTGTTGCTGTTGCTGTTGCTGTGTTGCTGTTGCTGTGCTGCTGTTGTTGTTGCTGTTGCTGTTGCTGTTGCTGTTGCTGCTGTTGTTGTTGTTGCTGTTGCTGTTGCTGTTGCTGCTGCTGCTTTTCAACGCTTAGCGCATCCAAGGCGCGAACAGCGGCGCGAGCGCCCAGAGAATCAAGTTTCTCTATGTGGGGTGGGCCCGAAGATAGTACCGGATCACTTAATACTATATATGTTTTTCACTGTTTTTCCATGTGGCAGAGTAGCAGCTTGTATTGGATGTGCAGTTTCCATTCGTATCGGCAGATGCAAGCCCAGGCTTGCCTTTCAAGATTTTCAAGCACAACAACTGCTGAGACAAACCTAACAAGACCATGGAAACTTCCCTTGTTCATTGAGAGAAAACCTTCCAATGTTCAAGCAAATCCGAATTGCTTGATGCATATGGCTTTGAAAGGACGGAATTACTTTGGCTAGGGCCGGTCTTGACGCACATGTTGCAGAGGAAGGGAGGGCCCCGCAGTATTTGCAAGCTTGGCTTGCTAAGCCCAGCCAAGGTCTTCCATTTGATGTACTTCGCCGTGGCCAGACGAAACCTGCAAGTATTCACCTGTGTGGGGAATCCCCAGCAGTCGCAGTCCTGGAGGTTTTTGTGGTGCTGGAGGGAGATGATAGCATAGGATTACCATGGATTACCCTCTGGTAAACTGTCACATAACTATGGAACATCACCATTTTTAATGGGAAAATCTCACTATAAATGGTGATTATCCATAGTTATGTTAGTTTACCAGAGGGTACCTACAGACAGATGGCAGAAGTAATTTAGACTTATGAGTTGGCCACCGCTAGAGCCGCTAGTTGGAAAGTGCCATTTGTAGACCTCAACGTTTTTCGCAGCGTTCAATGGTCAAAGGCACCAGTGGCTTCGAGTAAAAATTGAAGAAAACAACTAGAGATACAAAACTTGAGACGATCCAGATCGATCCAGTGAGATAAGGTAAGAAGATTATAGAATAGATGATTATAGAGGATCCACATTCGGAACCTCAAGCTGTTTGGTCCTGCAAAGTCCTCCGGCATAGCTGTGCTCAAAATCGCAGCCCACTGCTTTGGCCGTGCCAAGGAGGTGTTGGGCGAAGCTGATCCCGCCCGAGTCCTGCGGAAGCAGGGTGCTGTGGAATGCCGTGCGAAAGCTTGGTACTGCCCAGCCACATGAGGTCTTTGTTTATCAATGTAGCAACATGTATCAAACTGTATTATATATAATAATCATGAATTATCACCATGTGTCACATAATTTGGAAAACCTTTCAGGAAAACCTTTCAGGCATTTTGACTGGGTTTGGGCCGTGCCATGGTGTCTTGTATGTTCTGTATGTTTTGGTGCCGCAGCCGTGTAGGTCAGCATTCCCCACCCGGCTGGCGAGTTTCAAACTGAAAAGATCGCACAGAGTGCATTCAGACAGTGAATCTCATCCCACCCATTTGGTCAGTTTTCCTTAGGTATGAGGATCACGCTGTGATGAGCTTCAAAAATTTCAATGAGCAGTGGAGTTTGGAAATCCTTGTTAAATTAAAACCAACTGAAGGGGTCTTGGTCTTAGGCATTGAACCGCATGCGAATTTGTTTTAATTTGAAAAACTCAGAGAACATCTGGGGGGTCATCAACCAACATCTATACCAAGATCACAACATATCGCAATCGATATCAGGCAGTATTAACCAACATCAAGCATCACTTTCCCATGGAAAAACACATCGCCCCATCCCGTTTGAATCATCAGAAAAGGATCAGAAATCCATTAAAAATCACCAGACAATCCATGAAAAAAACATGAACATCCAATGAAAATCACAGAAAACCACTGAACCCCCATGGCATCTATTGGTTTGTCAGGCCTTTAGCGCAACTGACCCATGGCCACAGCTGTGGGCCGAAGCGCCCTGGATGTGGAGGACGACACCTCACTAACCACCTTCCTGGACGATAGCAGTTCCAGCGCCTCAAGCCAGGTCCGGTATGGTCCGGTGACTCACGGTGGGATCAGTTTAATTTTATTGGCTAATACAGTAATGGTGTTATATTATATTATATATATACATATATATATGTATATATATATATATATAACAATTGTATACATCTTAATTTTATATGTGTACATCTATATGAACCATCATACTAGAACCATATTAATACTAACACGTATATTAACCAAAAGAAAATATATCGATGGCGGTTGAATCCCCTTTAGTGATGATGAGGAGGAGGAGGAGAACAAGAGCAATTAACAATAGCAACGTGCTTCCTATAATATAACAACAATAATTTTTGAATGACAATGATAAGAGTCACTACTGGTTAATGATGAAATGTATTGTTGCACCAGTTGCATTTATGCTTAACAATAATGAACCGGAAATCATCAAGGGTAGATAAAATGTTGCAGGCTGACTCCTATTAACAACAAGCGGGTAATAGTAATATATCCTATCCTGCTACGGTCAACCATGGCATTGGTTGTATAAACATGTATAAACCGTCCAAGATTGGAGTTTGGGTTTACAACATGTCTGGCCTAGCTTTGGGCCATGTGAGCCAAATAATATTTATTTATTAGATAAATCTATATCCATTTGAATGCTGGTACGCTTGGTGGTTTCCGAGCTTTTGGTTTTGGCGGGATGTCAGACTGGAGAGGTTGAGCCATTTCAACAAGCTCAATGCCTGCAATGATTAGTTGAGCACAGCCAAACTAAATTTGGTCAAGTTTCCAAAAATTGATCCATCTCAGTGGCGAAACCTTGCAAAGCCTTCCGAGCGCAGCGAGGCCCGGTGTAGGAGGACTTGCAGGCGCTGGCGATGCTGCAAAATCACGTGCATTGTTCTGGTGGCGCTCCTTGTGCTGCTGGGCATCGTTGTAGGCGCAAAGATGCCGGGCTGGCAGGACTGGATGAGCATCCCATTCGGGAACTGGTCAGTCAGCCCAGGGTATCTCCACTATGCATTTTTACTTGGTTTGGTTTGAAAAGGTGGTAGTTCATATGCACCAGGTACAGATTGGATGCCACTAACTCCACCCGGCTTGGTTTGCAAGTTCGAAGTTGAATTTTCCTGGGTCCAGACCTGACACTGTTTGTCCTTCCAACTGCCATCCCTGTGGCCACCCACCGCTGGTGGCAGGCATCAACATCTCTCAACGATCAGCGCTACTGGAGCCAATGCTACAGCTCTTGATCCTTTGAGTCATTGGATTTGCCAAAGCCTCCGATGTTGTCAAAGCCTCCCACTCCCTGGATCATGAGCACAAAGAAAGCTGTAAAATACTCCTGGGTGTTGAGGAGAGAAACAAAAAGAAGTAGCGACATGTCATCGCAACATTGACTCTAAATATACTCTAAATACAAGATCCCTTTGGAAATTAGGTTCGGCAGAATTGCTCAAACCATTGGATCCCAATCGCAAACCAAGAGGCAAGTTTAGGTGGAAGTCCTACTGAAATACCAATCTGATCATCCAAAGCTGCCCACAGAAACTAGTAGCAGCTTGTCACACCGAACTCCAGAAACCATGTTTGTGTGTGTGTGTGACACCCGGAGTCCATTTCATTCGAGGTTAGATACTGTAGACGTGTTTGAATTTGCCCTGGAAAGTATGATGGTTTGAGGTTCAAGTCATGTCGGTTGATCCACCGTCACTCCCAAGCACGAGATTGACATTAGGATTTCCGAATTTGAAGAGCGGCACAAGACAGGTCGCGTCGCACAGCAATTTGGATCAGCCGATCTGAGGGTCCGGACGTAAAACCGTTGAAACCACCAGAGATCACTGAGATGACCTGAGCCGAGGACGCAGGAAACGAGCTTTTGCCATGCACCGGCCGCTGGGGCGGGAGCGGCGGAGTTGCTGGATGCGGGAGATTTGAACTGCAAGAATTGTATTGAAAGGTCTAGGGGGAAACCATAGAACCTTAGGTCTGAAGCTTACAGCATGTTAGTAAGTACAGAAGAGGGGAAGTTTTTTTGTGAATTGCGGTGCGTCGTGTTTCCGCAATGGCTGGTGGAGGTAAAGGTTGTTTCTTGGACCAGCTCATCTTGTCAAATAGCAAGCTCACAACCAGTGCCCACCGCAAAGACGCTGATTTTGGATTGCCCCCATGTCGTCAGAGGAAAGATTCCTGAGTGTGATCGTAAACCAAGCGAATACTGGTTGCAAGTGGTGTACCACGCTGTTTCTGTTCTAGCAGCATGGCAGGGGTCCTTACAATCCCCACCCACGTTCCCGAGGCACGCGGGACCTGCGTAGCGGATCCTTGGCTGAAGCGCTACTGCAACGGCCCCTGGTAAGGGCAGGGACCTTTCCAGCGACCGTCTAAGCGGGGTGTTGACAAACAGCTTACGGGGCTATGGGGGGCATTGCCCAGTAATGACGTTTTGCGTAAGCATTGAAAAAACTATAATTACTTAGGGTCTCCCAACAATCATCATGAACCATATTAATGGTGTGGGTAGACAATACAATTTAGAGCAAATACATACATACAAGCATGCATCCATCCATGCATCCATGCATCCATGCATCCATCCATCCATCCATCCATCCATCCACCCATTTATTATATACACATACAAACGTATGTAGATGCATATGTATCATTAATATTACATGCGGACAGTGTATGCATCCACATGGTTTTCGACTGGGGCACATCTCAGTGAGTACCGCGGCGGAGGAGCTTTCCGACGAAAGCCTGCGAAGGTATGATCTCCATCCGCCTGCAGCAGAGAAGGCAGGAAATGACAGTGAGGGCTTGTTGAAAGGTGCAAAAGGTAATTAGAAAAAGGCATCATTCACATGGGAATAACATGGAATCAATTTAGCTTAAGGTTGTGCTTCACTGCTTCTAAGTGTTTTTTTGATGAATTCATGATGGGAATCCCCTTCGAACAGGAACTCGGACATGCTTCTGCCACTGCTCACAAGGGTCCTCAAGCCATGCCCAATTTTCAGGCATTGATGGGTTTCATGTACGTGCAAGTTGCTCAGAGACAACCAGAAATCATGCGCGAGACTCTTGTCCTTCAACTCGGGAACAAGTCGCTCCAACCCTTGCTGTTCAAGCCCTTTAGCCTTTTTGGGGCATTGACCTCCGCATAGTTTGCACATGGCCAGTTCGAAGTGGGCTGGTAAAGCCCAAGGTCCCAACTTATCAAAGGGTACAAGCCCACTTTGGCCGACCCTTTCAACCCAAGGTGTCCCAGCCTGGTTGAACTAAGGATCTTGAGTGGCGCCCATTTGGTTCTGCTGAAAGATCAGGTGGAATCCATGGCTGGTCCCGTCTCTGCCTATGAGATGCTGGAACACTGGCCTGGTGCCTACAAGAGGATGTCTTCTCACAGGAGCCGGAGTCAGCAGCAAAAGTGCCATTTGAAACCAACTCTCCAACCTGTATGTCTGTATGAATGCAAATGCACACAAAACAAAAGAAGACTACTGTATTTATATATATATGTGTGTGTGTAAATTATTTGCGCACAGAAAGTACACCCAGATGTGCACAGAAAGTATTGTATATAAGTATTGCGTCAAGTGATGTGATGGTTGCACTGATAGAATATCATCACCTCACTAGGCCTTTACAACTGCAATTCTTGATTCAGAATTGATTCGTGGGATGCAGGAATCAAAACCCCTAGAATTGGGATTAAAAACCATGCTTTACCGTAATTGTTTGCTATAAGCCAACCTATGGACAAGCACATGCCAATCTTTGGAAGAAAATGGATCCAAGATTGATTTGCCTCCAGAATTTGCACTTGATTGGCTGCAGGAGATTCCTGCAGTTACTGTATTTCATACGGCCATGTGAAGCCCCTCATTCCTACTGCAAACATTATGTGCCACTGGATGCCTTTTTCATTTTCTGGGACACCAGGGTATAGGATGCCGGTTGATTTTCTACATTAATTATCATTCATCTACATTAGGTGCTGGTAGTCATTATCGCTGATGCAGTTGCATGTTTTTGCGGCCAGGAGTGATGCGCAACAGCATCTCAGCTGCTATTCCAATAGGCTTTCCAGGTGGTCGTCCTGAGATTCCGGGATGCTTCCGGGAAAGCAATGCATGATACGTCACGATACACATCATGCATTAGACATAGATAGATTCAGATAGATTGGGTTAGCTTGGCCTTTTTTAGCTTAGAATGTGTTACTGTTAGAAAAAGAAATAGATGAATATGAATAATTTTGGTAGTATGATGTAGTATGATAGAATATGACATACCCTCTGGTAATTTAACATAGCTATTGAAAATGACCATTTATAGTGGATTTACCCATTAAAAATGGTGATTTTCCATAGCTATGTTAGTTTACCAGAGGGTATTGATAAACAGTCGACCTGCAACGTTGTTCCGATCGATAGCTCTTTCTTTTCAACCCTCGGAGTCACCGAGGTACGGCATCCCACAGGGCGAGGTGCTTCATACCATTCTCTTGGGCAAGATCGGTGCCTCGACAGGGCCACAAGTCGGTAGAAAATTGGAATTTCTACCGATGATTTTTTAAACGAAAAACTTGGTTAAAGTGGTTTAGCCATGTTTCCAACACTCAAATCTTCAAGTGTTGACTTCTCCAACCCAAGGGTAAACCTCCAATTGGAAATGCGTTCTTTTGTCTGGCAAAGATTGGTAAAAGAAAAATAAAAGATCACCCCATGAATTTCCAGAAATGGGGGATGTTCAAGCATCCTCAGCCAAAGGTTTCTTATCGGAAATTCCACAGGTACCACATCATGCATGAAGTACCATGAAGTCATGAAGGCAAGAATATCTATCAAGAACGGATGCGGTGATATACAACAGTATAATTACAGTATACATACCCTCTGGTAAATTAACATAGACCCTGAAAATAACAAGTTTCTAGTGCAAAGTAATCTTCCAACCCTATCTGCCAGGGTCTATGTTAATTCACTGGAGGGTATATTCAGAATCAAGCTTAAAGTGCTGAAGACATACAGCAAATAGCCATGGAACAATAGGAATGGGATACCTACCTTTGGGAGCACGGATGCGACCCTACATCCCATGCCACCTGTGTCTGAGGCGGTAAGACCTGGTTCCAGTATCCTGGTGTTGGTGGCGATGGGCTGGAAAAATGTTTATACGTTAGCTGGGAGGCCGGATACGCATATATAGTGGAGTGTATGTCAAGGTATTTGATTGTATAGTTGTATAGAATGAAATAATTACATACATACATATCTTATCTATCCTATCCTATCCTACCCTACCCTGCCCTATCCTATCGTATCCTATCCTATCCTATCTATCCTATCTATCCTATCTATCTAATCTATCTAATCTGTCTATTCATTCTATCAATCTATCTAAACTAATATAATCTAATCTATCCTAATCTAATCTATCCTATTCTAATCTATCCTATTCTAATCTATCCTATTCTAATCTATCCTATTCTAATCTATCCTATTCTAATCTATCCTATTCTAATCTATCCTATTCTAATCTATCCTATTCTAATCTATCCTATCTATCCTATCTATCCTATTTATCCTATCTATCCTATCTATCCTGTCTATCCTGTTTATCCTGTCTGTCTGTCTATCTATCTATCTTTCTTTATTTCTTTCTATCTATCTATCTGCCTACCTACCTATTACACCTTACATGTGAAATAGATATAGATATATGCATATGTACATGTATATGTATATGTGTGTATATGTGCAAATACGTATATAGCTACATATAGCTACATACATACATGTACACACACATATATATATATATACACATCCCGGTTATCATATATCATATACCATATACCCCATTTGTATATAGGGCTGTTTGAAAAGATTTTACCCCAGCCACGATCCATTTTCTGGCTTTGGATAACGCTGGAACACAAGCGAGCCGAGAGGTAGTCAGGTAGTCAAAGGATAGTGCGGCCTGCACCCGTTTTGGAGAGAGTCAATGTGCATCAATGTGCATAACCCTCATGAAGGGTCATGATACCTATAGGAATCTATAGGAATCTATAGGGTCACTCATGTTTTTTGGGCAACAAGATATGCAAGTGGAATCTTGCACTTGTTCCCCCATACGATCCAACAATGCTGTGCTCCAAGGTTTGAAGGCAATGGCGTTAATGGAGCCGGCAACTCAGGGGGCTGTTGGAGGTTGGCTGTCATGTCCCCAACAGCTGCAGCATGGATACCAAAAGTTTGAATTGTAGAAAGCTCCAGCTGCACAATCCGAAAATTACGCCATATGGGCATTGGATTCAGATAGCCACCTGGGATCGCTAGAAATTTTCGCCCGGAGATATGGAAATACGTCCGAGGTTGTCACCTTCATTCTGCACATGTGCGACTATGTGGAGTATAAACTCACAGGTCGCAACATAGGTCAGTTGCTCAGCACAAAGTTGATCGATGTTGATCGGTTTTTCGTACGGTGACAGCCTAGGGTTTCATCGTGCCATCACACTACACTGTCTCATTGCGGTGTTGGTTTCATTTAGACATTGACATGGGAGCTGATGTTCAAATCATCCTGATCCTATCGACAGTGTTGTTTGATTCTATTAATCCCAGCCCCGCAATATCAGATACCCCAAGATAAGGCTCAAAAGTCGACACATCCAATACTAAACCATGATTTATAGGGTGGCATTTAATATATTGGGGGGAGGGAGTTTTCCAACTCCTAGTGGCTAAATCCACATCAAATCCTCACCTTGACACCAACGGCACCAGGACCACTTGGCACCTCCAAGCACACGGACCGAAGTCCACTGCTGATCCAACTTCCAGTGGCTATGAAGAAGCAGGACGACAGCAGTGCCTTTGATGAATCCCTGGGATAAAGATCACCAACTTTTGCAGGTTGGTAGGGCGCATGTTTTAAATTTACGCGCCAATTTGGATGGTGGAAGAGAACGCTATGACATTGTTTGTTTTCGAACTATCAGCTGTGCTGGCATTGAGAACGAGGTGACTGAGCCTGGTCAATTCCATTTGTTCTGAGTACTGTGTATGGAATTTGCCAATGAAACTACCCACACCTGTGATATCAGATAGCATCTCTATATGGTCACTAAGATACCCCACACAGCAGCACGCAGGAATGTCCAGTGATTTGCAACAAGACAGGCCTGTTGGCCATGGGCAGCAAGCTGCTGGAGGGATCTTCCACATTCCATGTTGGTTGAAATGCATGAAGATTAGCACTGTTCCCTCTCACAAATGGACAAGATGCGTCGATACTACACTGGGAGACTTGTGGAATTATCATGCCTAGTTGGCGGCTTCGAAAAGGCTGACGGCGAACGCAATCTAATCAATTTTTGATCGTTCTCGTATGTTGGAGCCATTTTAGGGTCCAGGTGGTTCAACTACCAACCTATTTCATAAACATTTAAAAAATAAATCAAGGAGGTTTTGAAGATAGTCCCCTTTTTTTTCATCCAATTTCCTGGATGATTTCCCATGCCAGTGGATTGGGCGATCTCCCCAGGCCCTCCACAGCCTGACCTTGGTTCGATCCCGGAAGGAGCGGGCCATGGGCACGGGGTGATTTGCCCCCACTGGGTGATTTTCAGACAAGTCCCATTTGGACAATGAGACCAGGTTCATTTTTTGGAGGGAACTTGGATTTGAGAGTAAGATTTTGTGCTTCTAGAGGAACTGCACGATTTTTTTTGCATGATGCGTAGATGATGGGCATGTGGCAAGTTGAAATATTGATGTCACGCGGCACGTCCTGCCAGCGATCCCTTCCAGGAAATTGGTTGTTTCCAAGATTGTGACCAAGCAGCACATAGCTGCACACGCTTTTGGCTGTTCCGTGGCCTACCGGCTGAAACATGCGTGGAGTTGGAAAGTCGCCTTAGCACAGCATCCTGAGGTTGTGAGTTGCTCAGGCAACACGAAATGACAAGAGAAGCAAAAAGAAATGGCCGCTGCTGAGAGCGATGGGATTCCAGGGTGGTCATGGGCGTGAAGGACTGAAATCTGAAAGATCTGAAAGACAATCAGTGCTCTGTGGAACCAGTTGTGGATTTCAACAATTGTATGTGCAGCAAATTCGCGAGGATCCGAAAGCCTGTGTGTAATCAGTGTGCCCTGCTATATATTTCTTCATGATCACTTGATCACTGGAATATCTGAACTGATCATATTCTTGGCTTCCACGAGGTGTAGATGATCCTTTGGTGGCAACATGTATAGCGCCCCTTGGCTAGCAAAATAGAGCTAGTGGGAAGGGGAAAATTATGAAAGCATTACCAAGTACAATTTCAAGTAAAGTATTTGGTCCAGATGGTGTGCTATCCTCTTCACAGAGTATCAGCTCTTTGACCCGAGAACTCCAGAGATTCTTTGCTAAAGAGGCAGTTCCACCAGAGATATGTCAGAGGGTGTTGTAGGCCCACAAGCTGCAGAAAGTGCTTAGGTGGTGAAAGTCATGATGTGAGGTCAGGCCAGGCTGACCCATACCGAAGCAAAGGATTTTTTTTCCAAGACTTCTTTGGACGCCATTTCACTTACTGTAGAGACTTAGAGCTGTGAAAGATAAATTTATAAACTGAAAGTGAATATCATATAACATCATAGAACATATACATGCTTGAAGCTAATGCCTCAAAAGAGTGTGGTGCTGTGTGCAGATCCTCTGCGTTTTTTCAGCTGTTGTTTTTTCGGTTGTTGCCATGCTACCCACACGGCTCCAACCAAGGTTGGCGGCGATGTGGGCCATTGTGTATCCAGTGGCCCGGAGGCTCAGCCTGTGCAATCTGCAATGGTCACTCAGCCTGTTCTCTTTAGCGGCCCCGCTCTAAGGTCACCATGTGGGCCCCTCATCGGACCGGGTAGCATTGAAGATACAATCAGCAACCGGGTAGCATGCTAGGAGTACAAATGCCAAATGGGTTTGTCTCACGGTTTGTAGCATGGGAAATAGCCATTCTGATTACTTCAGAATGGATAAATTGATGATCAACCATCAAATTTTGGAGTACCAAACACTTGATTTAGTGAAGGTGATGTTCTATTTTGCCATTGGTTACCCTCTGGTAAACTAACATAACTATGGAAAATCACCATTTTTAATGGGAAAATCCACTATAAATGGTCATTTTCAATAGCTATGTTAAATTACCAGAGGGTAATCCACTATTGGAAGAATCTACTGGTATTGCTGGCCTCGCCAGGTTTTTCCTCCGCCACCATGTCAAAAGCCAGAATCGTCAGGCGATTGGTGGTTCAATTGGATCGGATGTTTTCCCCAAAATTGGATAATGATAGCTGTAGCGTGTATGTGAAATCTGATTGAACTATGTGAATTGTGTATTTATTTATTTATCAATTTATTTGATTTATATATTGATTTATAGATATTTATAGAGTATTTGCAGTGGACCTTTCTTGAGTTGAATCATGATATATTTGGTTTCTTAAAACGAAATGTTTCTCAAACTGCAGCGTTTTTTGGATTATTTTAGGTTCCCCTTTCAGTTTCGTGCTGCCAGGCGAGCCCAAGCTGGGCCATTCAACTGAATGGCTCTTCAGCTGCACTGAGAAGTGGAAAGAGAAAGATCAGGATATTTCTGGGAAGGATTCCATTGTGTTCATCAAAGGGTTCAGGCTTCACCCGAGGTGGCAGCTGCAATTCCGTGCGGGGAAGAGGAATAATTCCATACCTGAAATTCATTGAAATTCCGACTCTAGCAACAGCTTCAAGAAGGCTTCTCAGTCCGAAAGGCACTGGCGATTGGCCAGTGTCTTTTTGTGCTGAGGTTACGCTGTTTGGCCAGGGCACCCAGGTGTTGAGGGATGCTGCAGGTAGTTTTGTTCTAGGAGGTATCCTTTGCAAATGGTGTCATATATCCATGATTATCGATGCATATTTTGTTGTGTTTTTTTGCCTCACGGTGGGTCACCTGGCAGCAGCTGAGGTGGTGGGAAGCTGTGATTTACCTGCGGAAGCTGGGTATCTTGTTTGCAACTGTGTGCAACTGTGACTTCGGACATCTTAAGGGATGGCCCCGTTTGGAGAAACAGTTCGAGCTGCCGAGGCTTCCTTCTGCTGGAGCTTGTTCCTGGGTCAAGGTTGGAAGCCCCAACATGCTAAATGCTTGGGAAAGGAGCCAGTTGGTCTTTGTCGGATAGGCGTCTTACATGTCAAAAATAGTGCGGACAGGAGGATGGTGCCACCAGATTTGAACAATTCAGATGAATCACGTCCTATCAAGCTGGCAATTATCAAGACTCTATACCAGCCTCAATCTGCACAGTTTCCACAGTAGAACTTTTTTTCAGAGTGACAAATGGAGAAATTTCATGCATGGAGGGATCACCATCTTGCATCACCGTGTCCAGGCCCAAGATTTTCTGCTTCACAGTTTGCTGCTTGGCAGCCTTGCACGCCCAAGAGATCTATCGGTGCGGAGGCCCAGGATGGGGCTCAGCCAGTTTTGCCGGGAAAATCGTCATGAAATTTTCTGAATTGGGTAATTAGACCACCAAAATGGTCCAGATTTGCTGGTCCATATTGGCAAATTGATCAAAATGGAGAAGTTGCCAGAGTTTTTGGTACAGGCAATTTTGGGACACCAGATTCCACTGGTTCTGCGAAGACCAAGGCCCTTTGATGATCGGCAAGGCGGTCTCCTAAACCGCATCGAACGGCACCCTGGCGAAGTTTCCACTGGAAAACTGATGAAAACTGCATTTTTTGTGCTTCCGCAGAGTCGTGGTGGCAGAATCTGCTCCAACACATTCGACATGTATAGTAATTAAATGGATAATGGATGTAAGCCCAATGATCAATTAAACCATCCCCAAAATCACCATAAATGGATTGCATAACCATCCCCAAATGGTTGGTTTATTATTGGACTTACAGTACATGATGATTTTGATGGCACGTCCAAGGTACCAGCTTTGGTCCACCCTGACCCCAAGCCTGGCTACACTGTTGGCCTTCGAGCTGGATAACTCCAGGTGCTTGGTGAGTCCCACATCAGCAGCCCATTTCAATTGGGAAGATGTGAAGTAACCATAATTACCATCAATTACCCTCTGGTTATTTAACATAGCCATGGAAATGGCCCATTTATAGATGATTTTCCCATTAAAACCTCCATTTATAAGGGATTTTCAATGGCTATGTTAAATAACCAGATGGTAACCATCACATTTGAGGTTAACCGGTTAGCCGATATTTTCAGAGAAACACATGTTGCGTCTTGGCCATCGTCTCCCACTTTTTGGGCAACGGTCCCATCTTTCCCCACGATGTTCTACGTGATATCCCGAAATTTGTCGGTCAATGTTTTGCCATGTGGATGCTAGTTTTGTCCCCATTTGATCCCCTGACTTCTGAGAATCGCCATTATCCTCTAGTAAACTAACATAGCTATGGAAAATCACCATTTTCAATGGGAAAATCCACTATAAATCACCATTTTCAATAGCTATGTTAAATTACCAGAGGGTAAATGATTTTTATGATTTTGATGCAAGCCACCTAGCTTTCAGGACCTCAAGCAGATCCTTGTGGAGTGCAATCGTCCGGATGCTTGGTATGGCAGATCCGGGTGCCAATCACACGCCGACAATATTGTAGTAAAATACAACAACCAACTATAATAACCAAATACAACCAAATATTATATATTTGTAGTATATATATGTGTGTGTGAGAGAGAGAATACATTCTAATCCAAGCAGGCGGCACTTTTCACTCACTCTCAATATGTTAAGTCATGTGTGACTCGGGTTGCGCCCTATGCCTTCATGTTCAACAGCAACGCCCAAGGTCGTGTTGTGCTTTGTCAGCCACGTGCTGTTCATCATCGTCCCTGCACCCAGCTGGCTGGTGGTGCCATGATGGGGCGGTCCAGGGCCGAATTCGCCAGGTCTGGATCTTCCATTTTTTCCAGAACCCCCTGCTGCAGCCTCAGCTGGAAAGGATCGGAAATGTTAGGCAACATGAGAGGGACATGAACCGATGCCGAAATGTGTTCAACATGTTGCAAGCACATGTTTGATATATTTTGATATGTTTGTGAAGGGTGACATAGGGTGACAACAGTGTTTGAATGCCCTGCAGTGACTTGAAACCTTCCCATACCTTCCCAGGCGTCGCACCGCCTTTTGGATGGCACAATGGACACCCTCCGCGGAGAAAGGTTGGTATCTGCGGAATCTCATCCTGCTGTCGCGCAGCTGGTGGGAAAGCAGCCTTCTTCTCAGGCCTTGAGGAAACCGATGGAAAATTGCAGCATTGCAGCTGGCTTTCTTTCAATGGCTGCCTTGGCTTCCTCTCTGAATTTCCAGGTGTTCAACAGGGTTCGTGGATTGCTAATGGCCTTGCAACAGGGTACAAGCTTAATGTTTTGACTCCAAAATTGCAAGGACCAGTACTGAAAACCGATCTTGCGCGTCCACCAGTTCTGCAACCTTACAGCACTAAGGCCTACGTGCACAGCCATATTTAGCTTTCCACTCATTGCATGGTTTCGTGACAGTGGCTGGCTCAGCATTTGGGGATGAGGAGTCAAGATACCAGTGACTGACCAGCGGGTTCAATATATTGTGATTAAGTAAATGTGGTGGCCTAAAAAATATATGTTCTTTTGGTTACATGTGGTTTGTCACTGGGGTTCAGGGCAGCAACCAGATGACACATTCCCTCCTTGTGTTGCAAACATCCTTGGAAATTGAAATGAGGCCATCAATTTCTACAATTTAACTGGGAAGCACCCAGGTAGGTCAGACATCAATGACCAGACCAACCAGACTAAGCAACTTAGGTGAGTGGCTCTGGCGGGGACAAGGCAGGACAGATGGTTGGATATGGTTGGATATGGTTTGTGGATATTTGTGGATGACATCCCATTCCTGGGTCATTCCAAGATCCAGTAATTACTTGTTCTACAACACCTTGGGTGCCCAGGCATTGGTGCCTCACTTGCCCCAAGGCGCGCTTGGGGGGAATAGCTGATGGGACGGCCCAGGGATTCAGAGCCCATCAGGTCACGAACTTCCAGAAGTCCTGCTGAACTCCGATGAGTACAGACTCAGGTCCCTTGCAGCCAGCTACTGTGGAGGGAGCCTAGGTGCCCTAGATGCGGTTGCGGCCGCATTTTCAATAGCAGAAATCGGTTACTCATGTATATACTGTTAATATATATATATATATGTGTGTGTGTGAATGATCGCGTATGTGTGTATGTATATATATATATATATGTGTGTGAATGATCGCGTATGTGTGTATGTATATATATATATGTGTGTGTGTGTGAATGATCGCGTATGTGTGTATGTATATATATGTGTGTGTGTGATAGTATCGGTGCATATGCATTAAGAATGATATATAATTATATGTGTATATATATATATTACAAACGTAGCACATGTACAAGGTGCCTCTTTTCTAATGAACCTTTGAGATTCATTGGATTTCCCTTTGATTTCAGCGTGACCCAACGGTGCGGCCACATGACAGGTTCTCATCCGTTCCAAGCTTCCTTGGCGAGGCTGGATGGTGACCGGTGAAATTGGCTAAGTTGGAGGATCTATTTTCTGGAGGATGTTGGGAGTTGAAACCATGCGCAATCTATATGGCCAAGAAATGTTGCAAGTGCATGCTGCCGGTCGCAAAGCGAGAACAGTTTCCTAGCTGTTATCAGTCATGATTCCCTCGGGAGGTCAAAAACATACACCATCATACTTCAAGGTCTTGGAAAGACTGAAAGAAGATCTTCAAATGCTGTAATCCTATGTAGTCCTGTGGTTGGTTGACTGCCTTTGACTCTCCCTGTACTTCATCAGGACATTATGCCATCCTCACCTTCCAGGCTTGGCTTTGGTCAGCCTTCGCGCTGAAAATTGGCAATGTTGGGCCACTGCGGGACTAGTTTCATCACGATCCCCCAGTCGCTTCATCACTAGATGGTCTAGATGTGTGGGACTGAGTAGGTCAGTAGGTCTTTGGAGGTTCTATTTCAGCTGTTCTCCAGCAACAATAGATATCCACGGATGTATTTTGGTGAAAAGGTAGTCATTGTGAGTTCCACCTGTTTGAGAGGCTCCTGGTGCACAAGTACCTCATGTCAGCAGCCCTTCAGCCCAAAGAGACGCCTCACATGGTTGCACTTTCAGCCGTAGCCATTTTTTGCCAACGCAACCCAGGTTTAGTTCAACGCTGCGCACCCTACAAAAAAGCACCCAAAAAAAAACGGCGGGGAATGTGGTTCATCCGAGTTCATCCCCATGTTTTTTCTGCGGCCAACGGTTCGACGCTGAGGTGAAATATGTGGTCACCAACTGTCACACCATTAGCTCCAGTCTGTTGGACTTTGTCGGATCCTCAGCCTGGAGCCATGGTTTCTTGGGAGCATGGAACAGCATGGAACAGCATGGAACAGCCGAAGTGGCCAGGTGCTTCGTGCCGCCTTTGTCCTTCACAAAGAGCTGGTGTCTGCCAAGCAAGTAAGGCCAAAGGATGGGCTTATCCAACAAAAAATGGTGGTATATCCCACGGAATACGATGAAATATGAAGATCCTAATTGCCATGGCGTGTGATTCTGGCAAAATCAGGGAGGTGTTTGTGAATCTCACCCTTACCGCGAATCATATGCGGCTTGAGTTGAACCATTGGCAGCTGTGCATGGCTCATACCCTGGATGTAGGAGCGCGTTTAAGCTCCTGTCACATGCCACGCATTCCTGGGTTCCCTTTCTTTTTGAAAGCCTGTCGTGCTACCTCTTGGAAAGAGCCATCACTACTCTTGCCAGGGTCAGGTCATGAACAGATGTCAGAATCCATTTGAATCTCAGTTCAAGATCCAGGTTCTAACAGCTTGTGATACTCATGTGACTCGCATGTCCATTGTCGCCTGTGATGTTGATGTTGATGTGAGGAAGGTTCATTTTGATCCATTTTGTTGAGTTGCGGTTCCCATCCATCCTCAGGATGGTGGCGACTGATGTAGCAAGGCTGGCAGCACCAGCTTACTCTCAAACCGATGATATGTAACCCACAGTTTGTTTATCTCTGTCCCTTCAACTTTGCGTACAGAAACTTAATGAAGGATCAGGCTCACGGCTGGTAACACTGGTCATGTGCTTGGTTCTGGCTCGCAAGCAACAAGCTAGACTCTTGATAGTATGCGGGCACGTTGCAAGCGGAGAGTGTCAGAGTAGCACCATGCCAGTCAGCCAGTTTTCCCCAACCCCGAACCCAGGTGTTAAGAGCATGGCATGGTGCGACAACCCTCTCGCAAGGTCCATCTTGGACAGAGCCAGTGAAGACAAGAACCCTGTCCTTCTGCGACTTGGCACAACTTGTTTCAGTGGTTCAAAAATGTTCAAAGCCTCTAAAGACATCTAAAGACTCTAATCACTTGAAACCCAAGGCGTGATGAGGAAGAAGCCAGCTGGAGCCTTAGCCGTTTGCCAGTTCTTGACGGCTCCATGTAGCTCCATCACAAGCAAAGTTGAGGTATTTGGATGTGGTATTTGTTCGGAGTATTGGTTATCCAGGATCCATATGGATCCATCAGAAATGAGAAAGCGCTTGAAGTTTAGAAAATCTCAGAGTTTGGATTCACTGGAAGTCTCATTAATGCAATTCATATGTTGGATTCATCTCGTATGTCTCACCAAGTCGTTTGGAAATTCCCTTGAGGTGAATCCAGCGACGATGAAACGGATGCAGCCAAGGACTGGGCAGTTTTTGTTCAAGACGGAAAATGTGCTGCTGGTGTAACTTTGTGAATCAGTTGGAAGTGCTGAATGTGCTGTAAATAGATGTAAATAGTATGTTTGTGTTGTTTTTGGTGTTCGACATCAGGTACAATTTACATCAATTTATACAATTAGATTGTCTGGACTCGTAGTTGCTTGTTGTAAGATGTTTAAAGATATTCAAAGCACTCCGCATGGACATCTCCGCATGATACTGGCCTTCTCGTCTTCCCCTTCGTTTTGACCAGGAGCTTCATAGCAAGGCCGCTGGCCGTGCTCTTGAAAAGGTCAGGGGACTGACAGGAAGGAATGGGGTCGGGTTTTGATAAGATCCGCTACTATTTGCCACTAGCTTCCTTCCACTTCCCACGCTGAAAGTGGTTTTGTAATTTGTCTACTGCTGTTTGTTGAGCCCACTGGTACACAAGAAGCTTTTGACAAAGGGACTTCGGAAGGGGTCAAGCATGGCAGCAGGAGTTGCGGGAGCACCCCGAAATGCTGATGGAGTGGCAGGCTTGGGGTGGCGGGTCAACAATTGTAGCTTGGGTTGCCAACCGCAGTGCATCATCATCAATTACTCCTACCGCCAAAAAGAAACATCCCAAGAGGGTCAGCCAACTATGATGCTGACACTCTGATCGTTGAGGTTTCAAAACTGGGCATGCTCCAAATCTGAAGCTGTCATGAACATCATGAACAAACCTACGAGAGACTCAAATCCATGCAAAGGCAACAAGTGTTTTGTTTGTAAGACGCTTCTCAGAAAGCGCATATGTTTTGAGCCAATATGGATGTGTAATGATTTGTACACATTGGTTTGAGCCCCAAAATTGAAGGGATTCGGGGCCTGACATTGTGGCAGCCAACGGTTCAGCCGTGGCGGCAGGACTTCGAAGACCTGAAAGCTTTGGCCAAAGAGCTGCAAGCGAAAGGCACGGCTCTGTTGTGGATGACGAATGTATGATCCACCGTCATCCACCATAACATGTGTATGTATGTGTATATTATATATATATTATATTATATATTATATATTATATATATATATTATATATATTATATATATATATTATGCATAGATAGAGATAGAGACAGCGATAAAGATAGAGATAGATATAGATATTGTATATATTATGCATCTTGTAGCATGGTCATGGCTCCATTTGGCTGGGCCACTTGTAGCTGGACCCGCGGGATGGCGATGGGGAGAGAGAGGGAGAGAGAGATTTTGTATACATATTTATACATGATTCTGAATATGTCTGAATATATTCATATATGTTACTCTTTGGTATTCTAGCAGCTTTCTTTCTGGCTGGAAAATCGCTGTTCTAATCGGTAAATTATCAAGCTAAGTGTGCAATTTTCCATAGTTTTGTTCAACTGCCAGATGGGTGATACATATATATATTACATTTGTATATATATATTACACATATATATATATATCATATATATATATATGTGTGTGTGTGTGCGTGTTATATATATGTATATATTTATTTGTTTATTTATATATTTATGTGTATACATATATATATATATGTATACGCGGCTGACGGATGTTTTATCACTCCTCTATTTGTTGCTGCTGATGATGATGGTGGTGATGATGATGATGATGTTGATAATATTGATGATGAGCAATTTGGTAGTGAGGCTGTTTGGCCGGCCAAACGAACCATATGCATGCACACACTGCCAGTAGCATTCTAGGCACGAGGACATCAGTTTCTACTATGTATTTAGTCTACTTCAAAAGGACCAGTTCATCATGATCCTACTCAGGCAAACTATAAAACCCTTTAGATCCTGTAGCTATGCCCACCATATACCTCTAGGATCCTCCAGGAAGCTTCTCCCATGCGGATTTCTCATAGCGACCGATGGTTGCACCTGTATAGGTCAAGGGGTCACGGCCAAAGACCTGGCAATCCAACACGAAAGCGCCTGGGCTCTGTCGCTGAACATGGCGGATTCATCTCCAATATTTCTGGCATCAAAAACGGCCACTGTGTATTTTATCATGGGAAAATGAAGTTCTAAGATTTTTTAAGATTTCCAAGCCATCGATTTCTGCAGAACAAAGAATAAAAACATTGAAATCCAGATAACTTATCTTAAACATGAGGCTATATGAAATCACGTGTTGTTTTTCTGCATGCAAGTCAGTTGGTTGAAATTAAGGATCAGCCAATCATGGACCTACGCAGGTCTTGGAACAAATGTCGAAATGTGTTTCTGTTTGTCTGGGAGTCATAATGTTTCCATATCAGCAAACAATCAGCCGGCCATGGACACCATGGGGCCAGCATGGCCATTGATGAAAGGTCAGGAAACACCGCGCACACAGGCCCGGATTTTCACCAGTGTCAAGTGGATGCGTGGTTTCATTCAGCGTAGGGTCAACCAGTGAAATTTACGATCCCGTCAGCAACTCACGCCAAAGGTAGAACAGGGACTCTATATTGGTCAGTTCTCGCCAGCATCACATCTGTTATTGGCAGACGATCTGGAGGAGAGTTTGGCTGCAACAGCGGGACAGAGGATTCAGCATGATTCAGCTGCATTGCAGGTGGCACCGGTGGATTCTGTGAGGATCCGACCGCAGCAGGCGATGGTCAAGTTGAGCCACCAATGGGACGCTCTCGATGAATTGAGAAACTGATCTTGGAGTTGTAGCTGCTAAGGTGAATGTGAAAAGGAGAGAGTGTGTGTGTGTGTGTGTTTGAAGTTCCATGAAGTTCCATGAAGTTCCTAAGAGAATGTCCCTTTGTCATCCTTTGTCCGTATGCACCCCTTTTTACTGGACTTCCTCCACTTGATTGGAGGATTTGGAGGAAGAAGGAGGAAGAACTTAAGGGAAAAACACCCCATCTGGAAACCAAACCTGATATGCTGTCCAGGACAGCCCACTTATTCCGAATTTGTTGATTGGATTGGATCGTTATCGCTTTTCTGGGCAGCAATGGAAACCACCTCCTTTCAGAACTGCCAGGTGGACGATGTCGAGCGGACCTACCGAAAGAAGGCAGCTCCCGTTCAATCCCTAAATGCCTCTTCATCACTACAATGCCTCCTCATCACTAAAACGCTGGGCTAGAACAAACTCTGGTGGCTCATTAATTTCTGGTTTCAAACCTCGAAAAGTAAAATCAAATTTGCCATCAAGATAGGAGTTCCTAATATTTACGGCGCGGTGTTCTATTAATGGGGGCTTGCCATTATTCGAACCTCTTTTAGGAAAGAAATTGTGCATTTCGCAGAATCGGGTTCTGTTTTCCAGCCTTGTTCCATGCCTTTTCAGCCCGCAACGTTCTTCGGAGGTTTCTGCCATGTTCTCGCAGTGGACTTTCCAGCATGGCATGACTTTGGCATCTTGGCATTTGACACATATGGGTGTGTCTGAAAATGTCGTGTAGCCCATTTTCCCAATGGTTTTGCTGATCATTATCCCTATTAAATGGCTATTAAACTAGGGAATATACCCAACATTTTCAGACAAACCCATTTGGCTTATTGTTGGAAGTATATCATCAAGGTTCCAGTATGTTCCAGTCGAATGGGTTGACACGGTTGACACGGGCTGGGCCACACCCCAGACCTGGGGCCCCTTCTCAGGTGGATCTACGGCAGGGCCTTGCTAGGGCACCCAACTTGCGTGGGAACATGGCAGGTGATGTTGACTGGCTTAGCTTGCAAACATGCAAGTGGGATTGAGTGGGTATATATGGGAAGCCCTGGGAAATCAGTTCTGTTTTGGGGGATCCACCTTTAGCCTGGCAGCAGCTTCTGAGTATTGGTCAAATGGAAATACTGCAGTGCTGCCGTGCACAACAGTAGTTATTCCAGGTGCCCTTCTGAGTTGTTTCTTCGGAGAAACCATCCGTGTGGATACCCAAGCACCCCAAATCCACAAAGAAAACAGAAACCCATTTCCCTTCCCAAAAAGTTTTTGAATGAAACCGAAACAAAAAGCGATAACTGTATATTTACATGGCAGTTTCCAAATACTTCCAGCAGCAACTCACTTGCGAGACGTGCCCAAAAGCGATGCGATGCCTAGGCCTTGCTACGACAGGTGCCTCCAATGGAGCTACCGGTGCCAGTGGAAGGAATTATGTTTTTTTTGCCCATGGAACAGCACGTGTATAAATTACCATGAAATATACTAAATATCACAAAAGTGTGATTTACATGTGAATGTGTGTTGGTGTGAAGCTGTGGGCTTGCACTTGTTCAATTGCTGCTGGTATACCCCGCCAGCTCCACAGACATCTCAGCTGTAGCAAGGTGTGGCTTGATGCCTTTGAGCGGCAGTGGATTCCAGAACCTTTGGCAAGAAATTCCAGGTGTTCAAAAATCATTTTCCAATGATTTTCAGATATGTTCAAGTGGTGTTTGAGGTTTTGTTTACCCTCTGGTAAACTAACATAGCTATTGAAAATGGCCCATTGATAGTTGATGTACCTATTAAACATGGTGATTTTCCATAGCTATGTTAAATTACCAGAGGGTATGTTTTGTTGGAAGTCGAGTTCCATGGAGTTCCCACATCTGTGGTTCACCATGGTTCACCGCCAAGGAATTACTGAGCTCCGATCGTGTCATTCGTCGCCCAGCCATCTTGGAGGAGGAAGAAGCGCAAGCCATCAAAGCTGTAGGGAAGCTGAGAGATGAAGTTTCAAATGTTTCAAGGGAAAAAAGGCACTGTGTACATATTTATCTAGGGATGATGTATGGATATAAGATATGACAAAATGACATAGAAGTTACATCATATACTTACGTGAAATACGTATGTGGAAGAAACATGAAGAAACCGTTTCCGTTGAAGTTGATGTTGGCGTGGTCCCTTGAGTCCAGGTGTGTCCAGTATTGGGATGACATCCCAACATTGGAAAAAATCATATGTTGCATATGCACACGGCATGTATTTACACACATGTAAGTCACATACGTACATATGAAATATATTGAAATATATGAATATACCTCTGACTCTAGCCTATGATGCAATATGATGCATGCATGTGCACTAATATTGGGTGTCCATGGTGTGGCCACCTGTCGGAACGTGTTACCTCCATGGTTGGCAGCTTACTTTGCCCAGGTCATCGAGTCGACCTTCACCGGGCGCGCGGTGACGCGACGAACGCGCATACAGAATGCGACTCGGGATGCGAGGGCTATCCCATGCTATTCCTTGCTGGGGTTTTATTGGACGGGTGGGTGGATGTTACTTTCATTTTTCCAGATTGGATCACGTTAGTTGTGTTTTATTGGACTGGTTTGTCACAGAAATGAATCATGAATCATGTACCTAATTTCTATGAAGCAGGGACTGGACCCAACTCTGGACGTTGTCCTGAGGCAGCAATGCTTTCTGATCCATTTTGTTGGGTCTCCCACCGTGCCCGATTGGATTTCCAGGTGCAGATGAAGAAGAACTGGGAAGTGGCATTGGCCACGGCCTGAACGGATGCTCATCTCAGCTGGAGCTCTTAGCCGCTTAGCATCTCTTAGCATCTCTTAGCCTTTTTCAGGAGAAGGAAGAAACGAAGCTGGAAGAGCGGCAACCCAGTGAATCCATGTGAATCCAGCCGGGTGAATTTGCAAACCTTTGGCACATGATGGCACATGGTTGAAATGATTTGAAATGGCCAAAACCGCCCTGATCGGCAACGCAGCCGAGTGCCAAACTGTAGCAGGTTGCTTTGAAGTGGACACGCTTGCTTTTCTGGGCCTATTGCGGGCGGTTCTTCGTCTTCAAGGTCGCCATTGCCAGATTTTGAGTGTGGTGGGTGATTCCTGATGAGCCTCTCATAGAGAGAGAGAGGGAGAGAGATCACCGGATTCCTCTGATTAGCATGTTACAATTAAGTTGCAGCTTTCCCATTCATCCATGGACCAAAATTTTGATCATTCTGGTGTGATATCTCCAACTCTTTGTCCATCCTTCTGCCATGTGCAGATTGCACATCTGAAGTGCATCACACAGCGTTGGCCTCGGTTGGGAGGTTTATTATAAGTCGTTTTGAGAGGGCGATTTATGTAGAACCTAACAGTTATTTACAGGCACTTAGATTTGAACATCTTCCTTTTTGAGATCAACTTTTTGCATCTTTTTGCTGCATTCTGAGGCCAAGATTTGAGTTAGGGGTCCTGATGGTCCTGTGATTTCACTGTGGAGACGGAAGTTCCACAAGGATTTGTTGAAATTGATTGAAAAATGTTGGTGCAAGACACTCACAGTAGGTTTGCAAAGCCAAATCCACAGCAGCTCCCAAAACCATGGCAAAATATAGAAAAGGTTTCCCTATTTCACCAGTGTTTGACCTCAACAAACCACTAAGGCGAGAGAAGAGACAGCAACAAAGCTTCGCAGCAACGCTTCAGGCAGCACTGGGTCATGGCACATTTGTTACTGGCAGACTGGTTGGGTACCAGATTTTAGCCAGCAAGAATGGTTGCGATAGAGCATATGGGTGGTTTCCAATATTTTCATTTATTTTCCATCCAACCTGAGATGACGAGTTTTTTGGTGGTGAAACAGTGTGCATTCGTTTGTTGGTCGCGGTGTCAATTCAGCTAGGTTTCTCGGTGCGTAGTGACCATCAGGAGGTCAGCTCTTTTCCAGGCTCCAAACCTTGAGACGATGAAGCTGGAACCCGAGTCGCAAGAGGTGGGGATGAACATCTTCGTCAACCACCTGGCAGCACTGGGTCCCTTACCCAAGACCCTGATGTTTTTTGAGTCGTGGTTTTCCGCCAATGATGCGCCACGTTCTTCTCTAAACTACAGGTGAAGCTGCACCAAATCGCAGGCGCAGATGCTGGGAGCAGAGCCAGTCCCAGAGCAACTCTCTCCTCCAGCGGCACCAGCAGTGCGGCATTTCGAGGCCGGGGCAATGGGCAGGACAGTCGGGGTGTTCAGCTCTTTCAGGTACCCAAGTGATCAAAGATGGGGGCCATACGCCATAGGAAGACAGGGATGATACAGATCAAATAGATAGACGGAGAGACAGAGAGAAGGAGAGACAGATAGATGGCTAGACGGAGATGGAGAGATGGAGAGAGAGAGAGAGAGAGAGATGGAGAGATAAAGAGATGAAGAGATGGAGGTAGATATTTGCTTGCATATTTAGATACGTGTTATTACGTGTTTATGTATAGAAATGATACTGTATCATACTGTATCTGTGTTTGTCTATGTGTACAGACTATGTTGCCATATTTTGGGGAATAGTTCCTTTCACAGGCCTTCTTTAACCTGAAATTTGCTGTACAGATCCGTGTGGAGAAGTCAAGACCCTGGAAAATGATGATCGCAGCCTCCAGTGAATCTAACGCGAGGTGAAGAAGTCGGTGTTGCTGGCGAGTGATCAGGCCGGGTCGTCAGGTGGACAAGGAAATGATCAAAATGGCCATCACAAACCGGAAAACATTCGATTTGGTGCTACTGTTTCTTTAGTAGAGATACTGTCAAGGTATACTCTACCTAGATTCTATCCGAAGAATCCATGATATTCGTTTGAGCCCTACTCGGCCAAGATCAGCTACTGTACTGGTTGCTGAAGCTGTTGCTCGTTTGAAAGCCAAAGATCATGCGGGAACAAATGCTTCAGATTATTTGATTTGCTTGTTGTTTAGGGCTTTGACATGCTTTAACATTCCTGATGCACTGGACTACTCTCAAATTACTAGTACCCTTCGGTATCTTACGGTGGATTTCATGAATTTTCATGATGTTTGTTCGGGATTCAGATCCCCAATTTGGTGCTACCATTCATGTCACGTCCAGGCGCGGGCAAGGCTTTCCGAGATGGCGTTTGAGCCGCGACGGACAAAACTGGCGACGCAACATCTCGGTGATTCTCGCTGTGTGGACCGCAGTGTTCTTTGATGGTTTAAGGTGTGGTTCCTTGATGTTCCTTGCTTGATGCTAGCTAGATTGGTATAGATTGGTATAGATTGCTTGATTCATGTTCATCCATCATGATTATCATGAAAATCTAGATCCATATGATCCATTTCGTCCACCATGTTTACCATCACACATGTTCACGTTCCATTTATATTCATATTCCCATTCCATGTATCCACGGAGCCCCCCCCAAAAAAAAACTCCATCTTCATGTCATTCATCTCCTCCATCATGGTGTCATAAGAAGGTCTGGCGTAGAATTTTTGGGCATCATACGTCCAATCCAATTTCTTTCTTTGCCACATTGGCCCATTTGGTTTCATCAATGACGACATCAAGATTGAGCGCACCTCCAAAATTCCTTCAAGAAATGATGCGGTCAGGGTCCGGGTGTCAATGTTGAGCGGTGGATTGGTGAGGGATTATATTATTTTTTTGAGTTGACATGTGTTTGTTCCTTCACTTGCCACATCCGTTTGCTGAACTTTCGCAATTCAAACGACTCCTCTTATCCTTTGTGGCACCCTCCACAGTGAGTCCTAGAAAGCAAGGCAACTATATCAAGAACATATTGGCTGTCACTGAACACGATGGCATCCAATTTAAGTTGAACCGCAACAATGGCTGCCGCAAGTTCAGCACGGTCAATATGCTGTGGACCTGGCACTTCACCAATAAATCGATCTATCGGTCGATCTTTTTTCCCCGAATGCGTGGCAAGGGTTCCCGTTTCACTCTGGGGGTCTGGGGGTTGAGGGTGTGTTCGCTCGACGTTGCGTTCGCGAGCGCAACCGTTCGCAACCGTCCGCAACCGTCCGTACGAACTCCGTATGGCCGTGCCTATGGGAAGTTTTGCAGAGGTGGTCCTTTTTGGAGGTTTCAGACGTCTGGTTGCTTCGTTTCGCGTGGCAGGCGTGGCACTTCGTGACATTCAGACGTGTTCTGCAACGTGTCGAAAGTCGTTTCGCGTGGCAGGCGCAATACTTTTGCGACGTTTTCAGAAGATGTGTTGCAGTTTTCGTGGCAGGCGCAGCACTTTGGACGTGTCCATCGTCATTTTTCGTGGCAGACGCAGCACTTTAGACGTGTCGTGTTGCGTGTTTTTTGTAAATCGCATTGGCGGGGCTGCGTCAAGTGGTGACAAGGTGCAGATTCCGTGGCAGGCGTGGCATTTTCTCACATGTGCTGAAAATTGACGGAAGCCTCGCACGAAACATCGATTTTGATGTTGGCAATTTTCGGGTTCTAAGGAAAACTCGTAGGAAAACGTCGATTTTGAAGCTACAAAGTGTGAAAATTGGAGGAAGTCTCGCACGAAATGTTCGTTTTGGTGTTCCCACCTGTCTCGTCTCGCGTGTCTGGTTTTCCCGTGGCCTCGCCGTGTCTATGGTGGAAGCTGCAAAACTTCTCCTTTTGTCATGTTGCTAACTGTGAAAATTGGAGCAAGTCTCGTGCGAAATGCTGTTTTTTCTGCATCCACGTGTCTTGTCTCGAGTCGCTGGTTTTCCTGTGGCGTCGCCGTGTCTATGGGGGAAGCTGGAAAACGTGTCCTTTTCGAATGTTTCCAAGCAGGTTGTCATGCCGTTTTGCGTGGCAGGCGTGGCACTTTGTGACATTCCAACCTGTTTGATAACGTGTGGAAAATATCAAAATTGGAGGAAGTCTCGCACGAAATGCTGGTTTTTCTGCATCCACGTGTCTCGTCTCGAGTCTCTGGTTTTCCTGTGGCGTCGCCGTGTCTATGGGGGAAGCTGGAAAACCTATCCTTTTCGAATGTTTCCAAGCAGGTTGTCATGTCGTTTTGCGTGGCAGGCGTGGCACTTTGTGACATTCCAACCTGTTTGATAATGTGTTGAAAATGTCAAAATTGGAGGAAGTCTCGTACGAAATGCTGGTTTTTCTGCATCCACATGTCTTGTCTCGAGTCTCTGGTTTTCCTGTGGCGTCGCCGTGTCTATGGGGGAAGCTCCGCACTCCACACTCTACACTTTACACTCCGCACTCCACAATTTACACTTTACACTCCACACTTTACACTTTGCACTTTACACTCCTCACTCCTCACCTGAGACTTTACACTCCACACTCCACACTCTACACTTTACACTCTACGCTCCACACTTTACATTTTACACTCCACACTCCACACTCTACACACCACACTCTACACTTTCCACTCCACACCCCACACTCCACACTCTACACTTTACACTCCACACTTTATACTTTACACTCCTCACTCCACACTCTACACTCCACACTCCCCACTTTACACTCCACACTCTCTACACTTTCCACTCCACACTCCGCACTCCACACTCCACACTTTACTGTACACTCCACACTCCACACTTTATACTTTACACTCCTCACTCCACACTCCACACTTCAAACTCCTCACTTTACACTCCGCACTCCACACTCCACACTCCACACTTTACACTCCTCACTCCACACTTTACACTCCACACTTTACACTCCTCACTCCACACACTACACTTTACACTTCACACTCCACACTTTCCACTCCACACTCCACACTCCACACTTTCCACTCCACACTCCACACTTTACACTCCACACTCCCTTCTCTACACTCCTCACTCCACACTTTACACTCCACACTTTACACTCCACACTTTCACTCCACACTTTCCACTCCACACTCCACACTTTACACTCTACACTATACACTCTACTCTCCACACTTTACACTTTACACTCCACGCTTTTCACTTTATCTACACTCCTCACTCCACACTCACTTCACTTTACACTCCACACTCCACACTCTACACTCCACACTTTAAACTCCACACTCCACACTCTACACGCCACACTCTACACTTTCCACTCCACACTCCACACGCTACACTCTACACTCCACACTCTCCACTTTACACTCTAGACTCTACACTTTACACTCTACACTTCGCACTCTACAATTTACAAACTCCACACTTTACACTCCACACTTTACACTCCTCACTTTACACTCCACACTCCACACTCTACACTTTACACTCCTCACTTTACACTCCACACTTTGCACTTTATACTCCTCACTCCCTACTCTACACTCTACACTCCACACTCTACACTCCACACTCTACACTTTACACTTCATACTTCGCACTCTACACTTTACACTCCATACTCCACACTCTACACTTTACACTCCGCATTCTACACTTTACACACTCTACACTCCCCTCTCCATACTTTTTACTCTCCACACTCTACACTTTCCACTCCACACTGCAGACTGGTAACAAGGGAAACATGCACAAGACTTTTCAAATAAACTATTGCAGAAAGGTATTGTGCGTGACTGCAAAACCATGTGTTTTCACATCTGTACCATTAACATACGTGTGAGCATTCGGGTTCGTGGGCTTCATCTTGTTTTTTAACGTGCGAAGGCGCAGGGATGAATCCAGACAACTCACAGTCCCCCCGCATAGGAGCTGACTCCGCCGACCACTGGGCTTGCGGCAGGTGATGATATTTGCAGCTCCGCCGCGTTCATGTGTTTTCAAGATTTTTCAAGGAGCATCAAGTTTATATTTTGACATTTTTTGACCTTCCTGGTGGTGTCTGGTGGTTCCTCCCAAGTCTCAAGTATCGGCCAATTAAAACAAAGGAATGTGGATATTTGCGGCCACAGCGGCGCCAATATTTAGCCTTGGCTCGAATTCGCTCAAATTCAAAAAGCATGCGGAAGCTGAGGCGATGACGGAGACATGCCATTGGTTTCCATCATTTCCCCATCATTTCCTTCACTTATCAATGGCTGGATGTCAAATCTTGAAAATGGAAATGATTGAGAGCTGACACTTCAAGTTGCATCAGGGAATTTATGCCTGGTTGCAGATCTAGACTCTGGACCTAGGCAAGATTTTTCACAATCAACTGCAACTTTCCGTCTTGAAGGTAAGTATGTCTGTCCAACTGCAGTCAGCATCACACCAGTGGATTTTCACAGGATTTCACCGTGAAGGATCCATCATCAAGTCACCAGGATTCAACAGCTACCCCATTCGCCGCGACTGACATGTCGAGCCATGCGCCGTGCGGGCGGAGTGGCTTGCCGATGGGGACGGCGACCCATCGAGTTCACGGTGGGGCAGCGCCTTGCCTCAGGATCTGGTGACTTTGGGTCATTTGTGAACTTGGCCACTGCTTAAAGGTGTGAGTGTCTAAGGTTTTAAGGTTCGAACTAGAGGATGACTTTGCAGAAACACGTTTGGCTTGAAGTATATATTATGGAAGCCATGAACCCATGACATGTTCACTCAAGACCAAGGAATCTCCACAAAATTCATCTTTTAGTGTGGCAGGTACAGAGAGGGAGAGAGGCAGACAGAGAAAGGGAGAGACAGAGAGAGAGGGAGTGTGTGTGGCAGGTACAATATTTTAGCCGGATATCTCGGCAACAACATGGAGCCCTGGTTCCTCTACGGTGTCAACATGCCCGACGAGCGCCGTCGGGCCATCTTCCGTATGCATCGAGAGAAGCTGCCAAATGGGGACCACGCCAACTTCGGTTGGCCAAAGTATGCGTCTCGTCGTGGATTTTGCGATGGGACATGATGGGACCGGATCATGATTGACACGTATTGACACATACAGTCAGTCATATGGTGTCTTTGGTATGTTTAAACAAGGGGTTTGTTTGAAGTAGTTGTTGCACCTAGCCTCTTTTGGTTCAAAACATTGGTTTCCAAACAATATACGCATATGTACGCATGATGTCCTATTGAAAACTGCCCAAAATGTGTTTCCCTGAGCCTGAAAGCTTGACCCATCCTCATTTTTGGGGATTGGTACTGAAATGTGATATGCATTGGGTTTCTTCAACAGATTGTACATGTGTAAAATCTGGATGGACACCAAGAAATGTGAATTGATCCAAGTTCGAGATAGTTTGAAGTCATTTTCACGACCCTACGCTAGTTTCAAGGCTCCTTTCTAAAGTTTCCAAGGGCATGTGGTGCGTGCATCAATTTGCGGGTTCTTTCTTTAGGGATGAACTTTCAGGACCAGTTCCGAACAAGCTGCCTGTGGCCTCATGCGCCCATGTCCGTTGGAAATTGAGCACAGCCACAAGTTACAAGAAGATTATGTGCTCCAAGCAACACAATTGATGATATCCACCGATGTGCGTAGAATGATGGAATGCCGCTATTCTTGGGATCTCTCCGAGGGTGCAACTCCTTTTGTGATTCAGAAAGCATATTTTGGGGGGGATCTTTGTGCATTCTCGAGCACAAGAGATTGCCACCTCTATGCTTGTGATGGGTGACTGAAGCACCACCCACAACCACTAACCAGAGGGTTATTGGCTGAAAAAGGAGCATGTAGATTGTATCCCCGTGACAAGCTCATGATGGGACTCAATCACCAATAAAGTGGTCATTGTTGCTGAAATCTGCGCTCATGTTTGCTGCGAATTACATTAGTTCTCTCCACATCATGTCAAAATATTTACGCCCGGTTTTCATTCTTTGGTTTTCAGCTTGTATCCCCTATATCTAAATCCCCACTATCTCGCAGCTCTTCTCCCAATTAATAGTCCCATCGCCACCGGCGGATGTAAGTTATATCAGTTTTATCCTCCATTACTCCCGGCTATTTGATATGATTCATCTAGAAAGATATTCAGATAGGCTGATAGATAGACAAACTGATTTGTACATGGACCTGTGAACATTTTGTAAATACACACATGCTTGTGTGTTATTTCATGTGTATTATATTAATATATATATATACTATACGTGTGTGAGTGTCCCATTATTGACGGCCTGGATGGCCGATGATTGCCACCGCCTTGTTTCCCCACCAAGGTCAAGGGCATCTTGTCAGACGAGGAGATTCGCCGTGTGGAGCAGATTCATCAGCAGCACTTCGCATGGGAACAGCGTCGCTGGCGACTGCTGGAGGTCATCCAAGGCTTCGTTGCGACTTCGGAGTTCGGGGAGTTGAAGATGGTGGAAATAGGTTGAAGTAGTTTTAACATGCTTTAATTAATGGTCCTTAGCAGGGAAAGTTGTGGTTCATACCTTCGTACCTTGATACATTCATATTATGTACATTCACACAGCCATAGATACTGCATATGTATGTGTGTGTGTGATTTGATCAGGTTTTTAAAGCTGGTGACTGCACTACTTCTACGTGAGCCGATTGGTTATGTTTGTCTAACTTGGAATGCTCATAGTGAGACCTGCCAATTGCAGGCATGAAATGTGACCTGCTATCCCTGGTGGAGTGCGATCATTACCAGGACCCTTGCCATGAGGTTCGTGGCAAGGAAGAGCTCAACAACCAAACCACCAGACAAGCCACCCAAGCCACGCATGGTTTGTTGAAGCAGAAGCAAATCATAACCCCAAGCTACCTTCAGCCCAAGTTGAGATGTTGGTATTTATATGACTTTATATTTATTTATGTTTATCTTTAACCATAGTTTCTACATGTTTCTACCATGTGGTTTAGTGATGCATCCCAAGTTGCCCAAGTCGTTGCAGGACCACTTCAAACCTGCGCTCCTGAAGATGGGCAACTGGGTTAAAATTGTGGCCCGCCAAGTAGCAATAGAATTGCCACATGGCATAGAGATTGCATAGAGTTTCCTAAGTGGAGCATCATCCCACGAATCGTAAGCGTTTAAGAAGTTAAGAACCCTGGTTAGTAAAATCCCCTAACTAGGGTTATCCCGGTATCCCATTATATCATATTATATCTCATTTTATATCCATTTAAATTTACAAGTGGGTTTTACAACTCCCATAGTTTCAATTGTTGTTTTATCCTCAAGGCTACGAGTCCATTTGGCGAAAGCGACCTCGCGCGACAAGCGCTGATGGATGCTGTGTGGCTGGGTTCTGTCATGGATACACGGATGAATCCATGGGAATATGATGAGAATGAATGGGAATAATGGTGGGTTATAGGTAATTAATATTAATTAATAGGAATATGATGATGGGAATATCATGGTCAATTAAAAACTGGGAATTAGTCGGAAATTCTCATGGTGATTTGTAGGTCATGTCCATTTTTGGTTCTGTGAGCCCGATGTGTTTTCTTTCTGTCCTCGCGTTGTTTTGGGGGTGATATCAGTTATATACGTCCTGCCATGTCCCAATGGTTACTGGTCAGATCATGTCACATCTCAAGTTCCCTGTGTCTTCTTGGATGCATTAGGAAGGTCGATCAAGATGCCTTTGGCAGTGTTCCGGGGTCAACGTTCAAACAATCCAGATTCCAGTGGAAGGTCCGAAAGTCGTTCACTTGGCTTGTTATGTAAAGGATTTGACCTACAGTAGTGTGGGTCAAAGAAGTACCAAACTGTGACGCAAAAAATGGTTGCACGCCTCCAATACCTTGACCCATCATTGGTGTTGTATTGAAACTTCTAGCTGTTAGGTTGCATGGCGTTCTGATCTCTTCCGGCTACTGGAAGAGGATGTGCATCAGCCAGTTGCTGCAAAGTTATCCTCAGCGAAGCTGCTTTCAGGGCATGACCCAGCTTGAAACGCAAATTTTCTCATGGCTAAGGTTTCTGTTTGGTGCTTGCAGAGTTTGTGGAAGTATTTCAGTTTCTATTTCTAGTACATGCCACAGCCCCTTTTTCGAACTGCACTATGATCAGTGGCTGCTTTGTTGAATCCAACCCAACAGCACATTGAGAGGAGAACGTGGAATTCATTGACAGAACTTGTCCAGTGCAGGCTGGTGGGTGTGTTGTTGATATCCCACTCAGAGAACTGCTGTTGTTGGTCAAGATCCATTTTTTCCAGAGCTTCCTTGTTCTATTTCAAGCACCCGTGCAAGTTGAAATTCCACCGTTTCAACCTGAAAATGGAAAAACTGTGTTGATTCGGCTGGTTTTTGCTCCTTAAAACCAGCTCTTCCTTCAACTTGTTTGAGCATCCCACAGGCCAATTGTGCAGAGAGGGCTCTTGGTTTCGTTCAAGGAAGCTTCCACAGGTAGGTCATTGGTTGAATATATGTGTATACACACATACACACACACATACTGTATATATATATGTGTGTATCAAATTATTATGTTTTTATATCATATATTATATATAATATATTGATTATACTGTGTCATACAGTTAGAACAGGCTGGAACTTAGTCTTGTCTAGAAAACCGGAGCCATCCCAAGCGAAATTTCGCAGTTTCACTAGGCATGTCGAATTTTCCGCCAGGGCAACGAGTTCAAGGACCGCATTGCTTTGATCGCACTCCTCCAGTGACTTGGTGTATCCACGACCTGCCACAGACATCGTGTTTTTGACATTTTTTGACCATGGCATACCATGGCACATATGCTTATGACATCTTATGACATCTTATGACATCTTATGACATCCAGGTGCACAAGAATGATTGAAATCTGAAAGTTGTCTCAGGATTGTGTCATGTCACTTCTACCCGGTTTCATGGCAGATGTCAAGGATTGAAGCCATATCGAAAGCAACAAGAGTTGACTTCCTGGCATACATCCCATTTGTTGCTGTGAATATCCGAAGTTAACTTCTTGTGGTTACCCGCAAGTCCAGTGGGCATGTGACCATGTGGCCGAGGCAGAAAGGAAGCCGGCAGAAGATGCCTGGCTTCACTTAGGTTGAATCGGTTGAAACCTGGTGATAATGATATACATCTAGAAAAACTCGCAAAAAAAGGAAACATTAAGGCTTCATGGCAAAGATTCGATGATGCCCTCACAAAACACCTCAACTGTTCGTTCAGTTTGTCAGTGATCAGCAGCTGTCCATCTTCAAAATCTATGTCGTGGATGTATTGTGTAAATGAGTTTGTTTTGGGGAAATGAGTCTCAAGAATACAACCCCTCATCAGCCCAGTAGAATTAGATCAATCGTAATTATAGGCCCATTGGTTCGACGAAACCAATGTTCAGGAGTGAAAACGTAAACTATTTCCCTCCAGGCCTCTTCAAATGGGTGAGCCATCATCACTTTTGGTATGTCCCCATGCCAGATCAACCAGCCCCTTCTGTTTCCAGCCCAGCTTGGCATTCAGGATCTGCCTGGTCTCCACTCATTTGCAGAGAAATCCGGAGGATTTGGCGCAGGAGATCAGCTGATCTCAGCTGCGGGATGACTGCCACGATATGTCTACATATGACTACATATTATGTATGTATAGTTAATTATGATTATATATGTTTTTACCTGTATGCACATAAGGTCGTGAAAATATGTCTATGTACATATACGTGCTTATCACGAATCTTGTTTTTACTACTTTGGTTATTTACAATTCCTGAAGTCCTGAAGTGTTACTGATATGCACATTGTTCTACAGCTATTCTTTGAGTTTCAATTAATTATATATATATACATTATTTATATGCACACTCAAGTCCTGTACCGTCTGAGGCTGCTTCGCCCAGACAACCACGAAGCCCCTGTCCTGCCAGGATAGCACCCCATAGCATCCCAATGTCTCCTAAGAGCAACACTGCAATGCATAAATTGACAGAAACGACGACTCCCATGCAGCCCATGCATGTTTTACTTAGTTAATGCCTGTAAGTCCCGCTCTGGCAGTATGTTTCTTCCCAGTTTCCATTGGGAAAGACGCTCCAAAAACCATGCGAAAACCATGGCAACAGCGAGGAGATGCTTCGTGCAAAGCAAGTGGGTCAAGTGCTACGCGCCTTGGTTGACTTTGCCACGAAACACGATGTCTTTGAGGTGCCAGGGTCGGATGCCGTTGCTTTGTACTGGGTAGGTCCTCCTAGTGTTAAAAATGATCCACCAAGCTTTGGTTGCTTTTGGTTGATTCCAGATGACATTTTCACAGAGTGCTTGATGCGTGGCAATACTGATAGTGATTCAGAAGGAGATTTGGCCAGCTCTGAAGGGCCAACCATACGCGAACGCCATAAGTCAGGTTGAGGTTTCGAGTTCACGTATCTTCCAGATGTTGCAATCAGTGCTGGCTCAAGAATCGATATCTTGCTGTTGGACAAAGTAAACTGGAAGATATTCACAATCTGTAGCGAACATCATCTCTGAAGCCCCTGGAGGTCCCGGTGGTCTTGGCAGGGGACCTAAATTGCAGCTCGTTCGGTCGGTTGAGAGGTGTGGCCAACACGCTCTCATTGCTGACACTCGTCCCACATTCTTAGCGCCGCGCGGTGGGGATATCGGAACAGGAAGTGCGAAGATATTATTTGGAATATATGATAATATATGTTAGATGACCCATGCCTTAAGAAATTATTCCAGGGTATCAACTAGGTTATGGAATAATTTCTTTTGGAATAATTTTCAAGGAATAATTTTTGAGGGGGGTAGGTATACGATTATGCATGTTGGAATTTGAAAATCATGATCCAGCCCGTCAAGATACCCCGGAATAATTAGGTTTTGGAATAATTTTTGGTAATTAAAACATCTTAAAACATCTTGAAGCAGCCTATACTTCCTACATTTGGCCTGGCCTTTCCAAAAGCCATTCCTAGCTTGGCGGTGTTTGCCTGAGAACTTTTTGCTGGAAATGCCAATTGCAGTTATTAAAGGTATCATGCAATTTGGGCAATTGCTTCCAACCTTTTTTTGCAGCGTACTTGCACGCACAACTAGTGTCGACCGGACCACCTTTCTCTCACGGTACTTTCTCTCGAGAGCTCTTTGGGTGGCAATGAATGGGGAATGTTAGGAAAATACCTAGGAAAAGGCCAGGTTGAGTGCCATTGTGTGGGCTTTCCCCAGGGGGGAAATTATTCTACGGGTATTGGAGATGCCTGGTACCCCTCAAAAATGAAAGCGGACAGCTAATCACCAAATTAGCCCAGAAATTGGCAAGAATTGTCAAAAAAACAAATGAAGCCCCACACATTTCCCACCCATTCCCACTATGGCCAACGGGAGTTTTTTGGAAGGAAATGAAGGGAATATGGAAGAAATAGGGGGGCGGACGCAAAGTTGGGAAAACCTCTAGAAGAGAGCCAAGTTGTTGTTTTTTTCCGGGCTTTCCCCAGGGGAGAAATTATTCTGGAGGTATTGGAGATGCCTGGCACCCCTGAAAAACAAAAGGGGGCAGCTGCTACAATCACAAAACAAATCCAGAAATTGGCAAAAAAAAATTAACCAGTGACAACCAAATATTTTGCTTTTCCCACTCATTCCCACTAAGGCCAGAACCACCAAACTAGCCCAGAAACTGGAAAACACCCAAAACCAACTAAAACCATGTTCAGCCAGTGGGTTGCTGAGAGGAAATTTGTTTAAAGATACTATTCTGACTCTTCTTGATCCTATCTGAGTATGTTGAAAATTGTTTAAATTTGTGCCCCAGCTCTGCAAGAAGGGAAACCGTTTTCGGCCGTTTGCGCGCAGCTGCTTACGATCACTTGCGTTTGGCTAGAAATAGACTATACCGGTATCATTTTGATGGAAATTATTCCATTTTTCCATATGAACTCATGAGTTCTTAGAATAATTGTTTTTTTTGAACTCAACGGGTGCCGGAATAATATTATAATTATTCTGAGGTATGTTGACGGGGGTATCCCCTTAAGGCATCCCTCATTATGTTAGATATGTTATAGATATACGCAGATTAATAGATATTAATAGTTATATTCATATTTATTCATTTCATTTCACATCCATATTCAATCTGTCCACGATTTGCAACGGATCCCATCATAGTTACATGTTTCATCCCCCGGCTGTCCAAAGCGCAACGGACCAAGGAACCGCGACGTGGTTTTGCATCCCTTCACCTTCGACACGGCCGACGTCCCCACGGGAGTCACCTCCGTGACATTGGCGCGGAAGCTGCGGATCGATGCCATCGTCTATCAGTGTCAACGCTTGGAGCTGGTGCCTAGAGATGGGGGGGGTAGACTGGGTAGACCTTCCAGAAAGCTATGGATGAAAATGGGGAATATCCCAAAAATGACAAGTTGTTTAGGAAAAATGAGGTAATCATGAAATTTTGGGGGCATCCGATTTTCAGGCAAACCCACAAAGAAGGTGTTGCAATTGGTGGATATTGATGGATATTATGGCAGATAATCATGATGTGGGTAATGCATGGTAACACTAGGGATGGAGAGGTGATCTGGTTGCTGCGTATGGTGGTGATCGGTGATCATTCTGTAGGTGATATTAAAGATGGCGTCCTAATACACAGTGAAAAGATCATGTTTTCTTGAATAACCAGGTGATATTAGATTTTACAACCATGAAATGATTTGGATATATCTCGCAAAAATGGTAAGATGAAGAAATATGAATCAAGAAATCCGATGGGTGATCAAAACTTGGTTCGGACCTCGTCACGAAAGAATGCGCTGACCATGAGCTAAAAGATCAACCACATGCAGAAATGTACAATGTAACAAGTGTAACTAGCCATTGTCATTTGCCATACTTGCAGAGCCCGGTGCATTAAGGGGATCTATGAGGAACATGCGCTGGCTGACAGTTTCAAACATATCTCTAATTTTCCGCCCTGGGATGGTAAGCTGTCCATACTTTTCGATTATGTTGGAGATGGTTTGAACCCACCAACCGGTTGGGCATTTTGAGCACCAGGGGTACCTAGATGACTTGCAGGTTGATGTGCAGGAATCTCCTGACCTGCACGAAGCAATTCCAAATGAGCGCCATCCATCAGAGTCTGGGACAGGAAAGACCAGATGTATTCCCCATGTCCAGGGAATGATGAATATTGCACTTGGAAACTGCAAGCAGTTGTAGGAGGCAAGTAGTTTTTTTTGTGTGTGGGAGATTGGGAGATGTCACGGCCTTTGGGAAATTGGAAACATTTGCGTGCAGGAACATGGCACTGCATGAATGGGCGAATGGGAGAGGTATTCCGATGATGAGCTCAGCCTTAGCAATGGAGAGGGAGAGAGGGAGGGAGACATGGACACATGCACATACACATACAAATCACCATCACCATCACCATCATCACCACCATCACCATCATCATCACCACCACCACCACCATCATCATCATCATCATCATTATCATCCTCGTCATATTGTCTTCCTCCTCCTCCTCCTCCTCCTCCTCCTTCTCCTCATCGTCATCGTCATCGTCACCAGGCATGACCAATATCATGGGATATCATGGGCAAGCAGTGTCACTGCCGGATCTGATGGGATTGTTAAGGACCATGTGCCCATCGTAGCACGCTTCCGTTGCCGCTCTCAGCGTGGTCGGAATGGACTTCGCCACGTGGCGAAGGAATGGTTTTGGAGCCTTGCTGGTCACTTGGCAGTAGATATTGAGGTGCTTCTTGAGAGTGCTTTGGGGAAGGGGGTTCGGTTTCACAGAATGACTAGTATGAGTCATGAATGAATCCATTTTGTGGAACTGGGAGGGTTTCTACTTATCAGTTGTTTAGTTTTCCGTCACGTACCCGATGCCCATGCGGATGTTGTAGCAAAGAAACGTTGTAACAAAGACAAATCGAAGTCTTGAAAAATGCAAGTGTTTTGCATTCTTTTCCGTATTCACAATTTGTGACTCCTTTGATGTTGGGCTTGAGAAATTCCGTTGAGCTACGGAATTCATGCAGTGCATCTTGGCTATGAGTTGCCTAAATCTCTAGCTACAAGGCCTTACCTGGCCATTTGCACTATTGAGTTGTTTGACCAATGTGACAGGGGCCCTTCGGTACAATGAAACAAGAGGATGCTCTCAGTACCACTGATTATTCAAGGACATGATGGTTTCTTGCAGCCCTATCGGCTCAACATGGGAAATTCTACGACCCTGTGTCCCGCTTCCCCTAGGGAAGCGGAGAACACGGAAAGCCATGTGCGTGTGCATGAGTACCTCTTCCCAATGTATGTGGTCAAAGTCTCGGATTTTCTACAGATGGAGGGAGCCCCTGAACCACACCATGTGTTGAAAGAGAAAGGTGTGCTTCATGAATGGCGACCAGGGATGTTCGCAGCTCGGACTCAAAGATTGGAACATGAATTGACCAAGCCACCTTGCCGCAGCTGCATGCCGACTTCATCGTAGCAGCTTCACAGGCTTATTGACATTTATATGGTGATTATGCATATATAATTACATCATATATATATACATATATATATCATATATATATATACATATATGGTTTCATCATGTTTGATCCATTCTCCCTGTGTCTTCCCAGATCAGGTGCTGTTCATCTCTCACCAGTGGTTGGGGGCCAAAGCTCCAGATCCCAGCGGACAGCAGCTGTTTGTGCTACGCCAAGCACTGAAACGCTTCATGGACAAGTCCTTGCTGGTGGAGGAGGACCTCACACGAATGTTTCGTTCCTTTCACAACGCCACCAGCTATGAGCAGGCGCGGCTTTTTTGCTGAGGTGAGGCTGGGGATGCTTCGACGTGTCATCCTCTGACATGTCATGGGTTGCGCTTTCAAATGCAGGTTGCAGATGGCTACCTTTTCCTGGACTGGTTTGCTATCCCGCAGATCACAGCCAGAACTGATGGAGTGAACGAAGATGCAACGAGATCAGATGCGGCCTTGGCAGTTCAGAGTATTCCTGCCTATGTAGAAGCTTGCGACGCTTGAGGGTGAATTCCAGACATGTATGTTTGTCAAATTTGCCCCAACATGTCCCAACATGTCCACAGCATATTTTTTGCCGACGGCTATTCAAATCCGCAGCGTTAATGAGAAAGGACACAAAAGGTGTTTTTCATGATGCTATATTACTATATTGATTTACATTGTGCAATCATTCATTTCGATGGCTTACAGGCTAGCAACTAAACAAGTAGAAGGGCCAAAGTCTAATGCTTGCATGCTTGCTTTGACCTCTACTGAGGATTTGTTTGTTGCTTTGGTCCCCGAACAAGTTCATAGTGACACTGGTCTCGCGTGCAACTATATGTCTTGGCTGTCCAGAGGACTGTAGGGAGGGATAAAGGCATAGGAGCTATTCTTTGGAAATGTTGAGCATTCCAAAGTTTGCTTCAGCCGGCACCCATACCCCTGGAGGATGGTGTAGGGCAGAACTCTGGTGCCGATTGCTGTCAATTCGACATGATACGAAAGTTATCGTGCTATTCTCCGCCAAAGAAGCTCTTTACATTTTACCTTACGATTGGCAACGGCATCTTGTTGCAGACGGCCTCCGTACATTTGCTTTAGTATCTGTGTGCGTTTTGGGGCTGGAAGGGCAAAACGAGCTGAGTAATTAATGGCCTATCGCCTATAGGCTAGGAGCCAACACAAAAGTTGTTCAAAGCAACATAGGTTTGTTCACCGTGGAGAGCGATCGTGCAGTGGTGGTGAAACTGGGAGAAATGGCTCTGAACAGCAAGATTTCGCACCTTCGGAAGTCGGGCATGCTGACTGAGTACCGTTTTTACCTGGCTCGTCGGCCTGCGTTGCTGAAACAGCAGCAGGAAAAGTGGAACCTCCAGGGTTTCTTGGACCATTTTTGTTTTCCAAACCTCGAGGATGCTGTGAGGCTTGAAAGCGGCATGACAGGGATGATGTGTCTGGATTGACTAATAGCCATACACTTTGATTCTTTTCTGTTGATGAGTTTCCCACTCATCCCATTAAAATTCAAAGACCTTCGGACCAGGTGTGCCATCATGGCTGGAGATGTGGACATGTTGAAGATCTTGGTGGAGCACCGGGCAGATCCCAATGGCCGAATCCGTGGCCTGGCAGAGCTGGGGTATTACGATGAACAGACACCGTTGATGGTGGCAGTGAAGAGCTACCAGGACTCTGAGTGGGTCATGTGGGGGTGTGTCTTGAATTGAGGCAGGTATAACTGTATAACCATAAAAATCCATAAAATACGGTGATTTAGTGGGAAAAATGATGAGCCCATAGAGAAAGCCGTGTGTTTTGTTGGGTGTTGAAGATCATCCAGTTGCGTCCAGTCAAATCTTCATGACATTGGTGAAAAAGTTGATGCTGCGAGCACGGCAAACATGTGTAATGTACATCAGCTGTAACTTCCATATGGCTTGATCCAGATGTTTCCATCGGAGTGGCCGGCCATGGTCCAATTGTCCAGGAGCCACATTTGTTGTCGGCGCTGATGTCCTTACACGCAGATCCAAACGGATTCGCCATTTCCGGACAGATTACAACTCCTGCTTGGCTGGCCTCGCGACCTGGTCATGTGAGGGTCCTGTTGGAAACTTGGCGGCAGATGCGATGAATCAAAATAGTAACTCTCTGGGGTCCCACTCGCTCATCATAAAAATGGAAAAAAGTGCTAAGCAGATTTGGTAATAATTTATGATTCAAAAATGATGTAACTATGTGCCAAGCTTCTGGCTTTTGCCCTTGTTCTTTCATTCCTTTGCTCATGTGGGGCTTCAACAAAGCAAGTTTTGTTTGGGGTAGCTTCACTTCCTCTTCCCACTTCCCACTTGTGTGTAGAGCTATCAATTCAAAATTCACCGGGGCAGGATTGTTTGGTTCTTTCTGGTGTTGTCCCTTGCCCAACTTATCTTACCTGCCTTGTGCATTAATTTTGTTTCAAAATCTGCAGTCAAAATCCTGAGTCCCACACTGTCAGGAGAACAGAGCAGATTTGGTGACTACTCAAGCACTGAACGGCGTAGCAGGCGCGGTTGAGCTCAATGCTGGCCGTTCAACAACCTGGCCTCATGCTGGCACCAAGTGTTGATGCCTCCCACAGTCCAAACAGACCTTATGAAGGGAAAGGGTGCAGCATTGATTCACTGTCAAACCGTCACAAGTTCAAGAATGTTTGACCTGATCCATGTTTCATGGGAGTTTTCCATTGTAGATGAGGATTCAATAGGATTCTTCATTGTCATGTTAAACTGCTACTTGTAGCAGCTAGCAATTACTTTATAAATCCTGGAAAAAAAACACTGCAGGGCGGCAATCTTCCGAAACCCTCAGAGCCTTCTTGGAGACAAAATGCGATCCTACGCGCCTTGCATCTGATGGGTTTCATGCTTTGCATGCCGTACCCGTCTTTGGTCGAGCCAATCCTGATGCCTGCAACAACCTGAAGCTCCTGTTGTCCTTCCGCGCTGATGTGAATGTGCAACTGGCCGCTGTTTTATTGATTTTTCATCCAAAGCCTGGACTGGATTCACTATTTCCGAGTTACCAAGTTACAGGGTTTGAGGTAGGGTTGGTTTGCTACAAGCACCGCAATCAATATGTATCACGTAGATTCACTTAGCTCTGGGTCTAGACGGTCTAGCAGCAAAATGAAGGCAGAGTGACCATGTGTTTTCGATTTGCTTCATTGCCATTCCCAATTGTTGCTTCTTTTTGATGGGAGGGGTATGTTTGATGTTGGTTTTTGTTAAAACCAGATCTCGTCCCGATCTTCCAGTGCCTTATCATGCTTCCCCAAAAGCTGATTTCGAGGCAGGCTTCACCCACGGGACCCCTGTACTGGGAATGCCTGCGGGCTGGAATCTACACATCACTGTGGGGCTTGGAAGGAAGTGGCTTGGCAGACTTGGTGGGGTGATTTCTTTGACATCCAAGTGGAAAGAAAAGATGGATAGGAAAGTATAAAGAACCCAAAAAGACAAATGCTATGTAACATGTACCATGCTTTTTGCAATTTTAGTACGATTTTACGTTTCTATTCCCCCCTCACTGAATGTTTCGGTTCTGTTTTTTTGAGCGTGTTTCTATGGTATGCTCATGTCGGCCAATGTCCGGAATAAAGGTTAAAGTTCATGATATTATTTATCGTTTCTTCTTAGTGATGACTAAGAGATAACTGTAGTAATTAGTATGTCTAATGTATAATGGAGTTATACGTTGAGTGAATCAGACAAGCATGGGCAGACCAATCACAGAGCATCAGTAGAACAATTGACCATATGGTCTTTTATTTGCAATCAAGACGAATCCTGTTTTTTGTGCACTGCGACTGTGCCATTGAAGGTGCTTACATGCGTAAAATGGCCAGCCTCCCTGGTTCGACACCTTTGTCGGTGGCTGCAACCTTTGGAGACAAGGCGGGAAGCAAATATCAACTTGATGGAAGCTGAGACCCGCAGGTCTTGGATGATTGTGGCCATGTTTGGTATAGGTTTTCCAATTTCCGGAGTGCCCAAGTTTGAGCCAATACAGACATGCAAATCTGTTCAGGAGCAATTCAGTCAGTTTGGCATGAACAAGCGGGCAATGTAAAAAAGCCCGCTGAATCCAATGGGCTCCCAATCAACTCATGGTTCTAATCCCAATCAACTCCTAGTTTAAATCTGTGGGCACAACATGTTGGAACAGGCACTGGTGCAATTGCTGTTGGAGAACCATGCCGACCTGCAGATTGCCAATGATCGAGGAGATACCCCAGAAGACTTGGCCAGGGCCTGTGGTTACAGCGATTTGCTGCCCATCCTTTCCACCTTTGCAGTGTGATTTGGGTATGGGTCAATACCTATAGATACATTTTTAGTGGGATGAACATCCATTTACCAGCTATTTTGGGGTTCACTAGGTATCAGGGTTTTGACCCATCCCCATTTCAATCCATTCATGAGCCCTTCGTTACCTTCGTTAGTTCATTGCATCAACCACGGGGTCTCCTCCAATCCCGCGCTTAACGTGACGCTTCAGCAGCGGAGTTCACTGCTCCAAAGGAGCCAGCGGCGAGAAATGGAGAGTGGCTCCCGGCGGCGTGTGTATCTCCACGGGCGGTTTTCGAACATGTGGGATGATGATTCTAGTATAAAATGACGATGACATTCTTTAAAGGCAGTTGGAACCACCAACCAGTGTAGGCTAGGCTTGCGCTTATTCGTGGGAGTGGCTTGTTCGTCCCATTCTCCTTGATCTTCGGAAGAATGTGGGCAATGAACGCTCCCTTTATCCTGCTGGGCAATGTGCATCACAGGCATACCCTAGCCATTTTGGCTGATACTGTACAACTGCCTCAGAAACCTGCTGGCTATGGGGAACACTGCGTCTTTGTGCCGCCCCAAAGAGGAAGTGCCGAAGAAGGCATTCTCACAATGCGATGTGCGAGTGCATCAGTATTTGTTTCCCATGTACGTGGTCAAAGTCTCGGATTTTCTGAAAATGGATGGGGCCCCCGAACCGCACCATGTCTTGCAAGAGAAGGGATTGCTTCACGAGTGGCAGCCAGGAATGTTTGTGACCTTCGATTTGCTTATGGACCAGTCAACACTTTTCTATATTTGGCCCGATTTTGAAACACGGTCCTGATCAAAACGTATCAATGCTTTGATCCTACTGGTACTTTGGCCAAGACTCCCCAGAACGCCCCTAGCAAGATCCAGCAAAATACCATATGACAAGTACAAGGCATATTTTTGATGGGCGGATCAAGCATCAACCAAGCTCGTTTTACCACCTTTTATCCCCAACTCCAGGTGATTTTTATCTCTCACCAGTGGTTGGGAACCAAGTTTCCAGATCCCCTGGGTCACCAAGTGGACCTGCTGCGTGAAGCCTTGCGTCGTTTGATGGACAAGTCTCTGAAAGTGGAGGCGGACCTCACGCGTATGGACTTTGGGGAAGCCATCAGCTACGAGCAGGCGCCCTATATGGCCGTATTGACACGGGCTTCAACCTGCAACAGTTGGGGGAATAACTGTGAATCAACATGGTTGTTTCTATAATTGTCCAACAACCACTGGAAATATTTGAAATCAAAGCTTCCAAATGAGACCATAGAAGAAATTCCAGCCAGTGAGTTTTTTTTTCATATTTTGACTCTAGATATTGTCACCAGAAGCTACCATTGGAGCAAGGGGCTTGGTCGACCATGACCAGGTCGCAGATGGCTATCTCTTCCTGGACTGGTTCGCAATCCCGCAGATCACAGCTAGAACTGATGGTGTGAATGAAGATGCAACGAGATCAGATGCGGCCTTGGCAGTTCAGAGCATTCCTGCCTATGTAGAAGCCTGCGACTCTTGAGGGTGAATTCAGGAAATGCATTTGTCTAGCGTGTTTTGAACTTTGAACAGCCTATGTTCGCCCAACAGCTATTCAATTTTGAAAGGTATTGGGAGATGACAGAAGGGATGGTAAGATGCTGTAAGATGTTGTAAGTCGGTTAATTCTTCAAGCACAAGGGCCCCAAGGGCTACACTTTTGCTCTGACTTTCCTCTGAGGATTTGTTTGTTGCTTTGGTTCCAGAGCTTGTTCATAGTGACACTGGCCTTCCATGCAACTACAAGACGTGGCTGTCCAGAGGACTGGATGAAATGGGATGAAGGCAACCGACATTCCGATATATTCCGATCCATTTCGGCCAAGGTGTTTTTTCTCATGTACTGTTTGCTGTGAAAAGTGTATGCATTACATTGTGTTTCACGTGGGTGGCTTCCGCACACGCCCAGAGGATGGTGTAGGGCAGAGCTTTGGTGTCGCTTGCTGTCCAACAGGCGGGACACCAGTGTGATCGTGATATTTTCTTCCCACGAAGCGTTGTACATTTTCCCCTTGGACTGGCAGAAGTTCCTGGGCAGAGTTGGCGGAGGGCAGACTCAGTGGTCCAGTAGATTCCAGTAGGACCACTGTTTTTGTTCAAGTTTAGTACCCAACAAGCCCCTCTGGTGAACCCAGCAAAAGACATTGCTAGTCATTGCTAGTGACAATGATGTTGGCATGTTCAAGAAGTAAAAGCCATTGAAAGCAATTTTCATCGTTGAGGCCAGGAAACCAATACTGAACAAGGCCTTCCCCGTTAGCACTGAGCAAATTTCAGGAACACCATTTCCAACGGCCTCTTTACTGTTGAAAGTGACCGTGCGGTGGTAGTCAAACTTGGCGAGATGGCCTTGAAATCCAAGATCCAGCACCTGAGAGAAGCGGGGCCTCTCACTGAATATCGTTTCTATTTGGCCCGTCGTCCTGCCTTGCTGAATCAGAAGCAAGAAAAGTGGGACCTCAATGGTTTCTTGGAGTAACTGATGATTTTTGTTCGTCACAGTGATACAGTAATACAGTATTTTGGGAAATCTACTCAGGCTATGTTTCTTTGGTGGGGACTTAAGATCCTTAGCAAAAGCGAGGATTCTTGGAGTATTTTGATTTTCCAAACATGGAGGCGGCAGTGAAGCAGGAAAGTGGCATGACCGGCATGATGTGTGCAGTCCTGGCTGGTGATTTGGACATGTTGAAGATCTTGGTGGAGCACCGGGCAGATCCTAACGGTCGGGCCAGTGGTCTCGCGGATTTGGGCTATTATGACACGCAAACACTGTTGATGGTTGCCGTCAAAAGCCATCAGGACACTTGCAAACTCGAGAGGCATAGAGGCCACATGGAAATTCTAGTGGTGTATCAATTGCTTCGCACCTTTGAGACCCCCAAAATCCACACAATGTGGGTCTGAGATTTCAAAATGGAACACTGTGAAGCACCTCCAAGCATGACTCTGCTTCAACTCACATGGTCCGGAAACAGCACCTGGCCAGGATCCTTCAGTCTTGTCTACACTCATGAGTCTACGCGCAGACCCGGATCTTGTTGCCAGATCGGGGATTGGTGCCATGTGGTTAGCCTTGGATCCTGGGCAGGTCCAAGTCTTGCTGGAGCACAAGGCTATCTTGGAGCATAGCGCCTTGATGCTCAGCTAAAAAAACTGAGTCTGTCAGACGGACGTCCGATCTCGGAGTCCGGGATTGTTTTCCAGATACGGGATACAACAAGTTATGGCAATATTAACGGTTTATTCTCTGTGTGTGTGTGTATTCAATCGGAAATCAATGATAAGGCACGCGGGGTTACAGGGTACCCAATTTTGAGACGTACCAGTTTTCTTTGAATAATTATTGTGCAATGGGCGGCTTGCTCTGCGAAAGCGTCAATGTAATAATTTCGATGTTTGATTTATAAATGTATGATCATGATTGATCATTTATGATCATTTAATATCATTTATGTGTATGTTTTGTATTTAGGACCGTCAACTTGACGCTAGCCCTGAGATTTTGCCCCAGGAACGGCGTTGCTGGAAGAGCTTCCTCTGCCACTGTCCGTGTGCTCCTGGAGAATAGGCCAGCGCTGGCCACTATGAGCCGACTCCCCCGGCATTCCACCATTTATTTGTTGGGTTTTTCCCAAGGTGCAGGACTTCTAGATCTTCTAGCCCCTTCTGTGGAAAAAAATATATATATATAATTATATATATATAATTATATATATATATATATGTTTGGAAAAATGAAGGGCACCATGACACACAACAAGTTCAAGCTTGCAATTTTCACATATTTTCACCAGGGGCATCCATGCGCCAAGCTAAGCTTCCAGCCGCTACTACCTTGGAAAACTTTCATGCTGACCTGGATACCTTGAAGACAGGTGTGATGCTGGCTGCCGCTCCTTCGATGGCTTTTCACCACTCCATGCTGTGCCGACCTTCGGTCGTGCAAATCCACATGCTTGCGAAACCACGCAGCTGCTGTTGCTGAGACCAGTTAATGAGGATGCAACTGTTTTGGTTGTTGACCATTATGCTTGTTGAACCGTGTTGCGACACCCTGAGGTTGGCATTTCGGTCGGATGTGAACGTTCAAGCGCAGCCTTCGGGCCGAATGTTCTGGGAGTGCTTTCGAGCGCGAGTTCACCGCTTTTGCTGGTAATGTTTTTCTTTTGACCTCCACGTTTTATCCAAACTGTCCGTCACTGGAACACAATTGTTGGTGAGTAGTCAGCACTTCAAAACATTTCGGAACAAAAACATCATTGAGCATGGTGCCTTTGCTACCTGGACAGCTGCAGCCAAGGTTCATACCGCAGTGTTCGGCCTCCAAGCCTCTGCATATCGACGGAAGCTTGCCTCCCTCCCAGGAGCAACGCCCTTGTCTATAGCAGCCGTCATGGGCGACAAGGCTTGTGGAAGGAGTTTGGGTTGTCAACTGTCAACTGCTACTGTTTGTGAATCTGGGTGTTTGTTGCCTGTTAGATCCTGTTGGCCTTATTCCTGCTTTCTAAACCTCTCCATGTGGGCTGTTCAGCAGGTCTGGGAATTGCCATGTCACATGCCCCAGGCATTGGTCCAGCTCCTGCTGGAAAATGATGCGCAAGTTGACATCCCGACTCTAGTTCGCATTTGCCAAACATTGCCTGGCCTCAGTCTCACCGATATCCTCTGAAAAGCTTAGGAATTAAAATTAACTTCTGGGTAGGTTTAAAAGGGATGACAATCGAGTAAATCCGTTTCAAATCTTTTCAGACTATTATCACGTGGCACCGTGGCACAATTCTCATCATTCTCATCCCATTTTTGTGGGGAGTGACCCAGGCGTTGCCCCATGTCCCGTCCCACACTCTGGAACCTCCGTCAGGAACAATCGTGGAGATACAGCTGAAGACTTGGCTAGGGCTTTTGGGCACCATGATTTACTCCAAATCCTATCCACCTTTGCGGTCTAAAGCGCGGTGGAAATGGACAGCCAAAGTGCTGCCCAACTTTGACTTCAGTATCATCCTTTGATAATGCTGGAGATGAACTCTCTCCTACTGGTCAGAGTGAAGAAGCGCTGCAGAGTGGATACAGGGTATAGAAAGGTATAGTTCTTGCAAGATGAGGTGGACAACCCCCCAGCAATTATCTACACATGGGACGAGGGTCGCTTTTGCCTTTGGTGGCTTACTTGAGAGTAGGCGTGTGTTGTAAGGATGGTTTTGCTGTTCAGGCTGCTGTCTATGCTGGGAAGCATTACTGCTTGCAGGATGTGGGATGCAGAAATGAGCTTGCAAACATTGCATTAGCTGGTCTCAACATTCCAGTGCACCCCTTTTTCGCCAGCTTTGCCTTAACCACATGCTTGACACTCGTGATGCGGATTCAGTGATGGGCCCCAACTAGTCACATTAGGCTGGTAGTCCGGTTGAAGAAGTGAATGCAAGTAGGTAAATGTTAATTGTAGTTTCTTGTCTATGTAAGGATTGCCCAACCCTAGTGAATCATCAGCCAACATTAATTTCCACGATCCAAATTATATACATTTATATATGCGATATGATATATATATATATGCACTATAGTTGTTTAAAAAGTTTAAGTCTATGACATGATGAGATCTCCGAGGTCGTGAGGCTTCCACTGTGCTGAGCACGGCACAGTTGCAGCGCGCCTTTCAGGTCTATGAAGATGGCAATGGACGCATCTCTGCCAGTAGTCACTGGGACACTGCCGACTTTCTGAAGGGCCACTTTCCGAAGACAAGCAGATATCATCGGATATCATGGAATATGTATACAATATATTGAATATAAATGAAAATAATGTATTTCACTTCATATGCTGCAATATTATATGTCTATATATAATAATCCTGGAGTAGATAGAATCCAGTTTCGTAGGGGGTGTTTTTTATTTTGAAAAAACCCAGGGTTTTTTGACCCAATACTAAACTATATCTTCGGACCCCCTAGATAGAATATTCCAAAATCTACTCCAGGATGCTCAAAATGTGTAATTTTTTCCTTTCCTTTTCAAAACCTTCTATTTTTTCAAAATTTCCTTTTCAAACAGCTGCAAGAATGAACTTTGGATGGTAAGATCGAGGATTCCTACTTTTCTCATGCACTTTTCCTTTCAAACACAGTTTTCCATTCAAAAACCTTCAATTATGAACTTTGGATGCTCGATCTTGGATTCCAGCTTTTCTCATCTCCTTTTCCTTTCACAGTTCTCTTTTCAAAAACCTGCAAGACTGAACTTCGGATGGTCGATCTTGGGTTCCTTCTTTTCTCATCCCATTTTCCTGTCGATGCTTCTTTTCAAAAACCTGCAATTTCAACTTTGGATGGTAAGATCTTGCATCCCTACTTTTCTAATGCCATCTTCCTCTTAAAGTTTGCTTTCAAACCGCTCGAAGAATGAACTTTGGATGGGTAGATGTGGAGGAAGGGGCAGGGAGCACCACAAATACATGCTGAATTCCAAGCATCCTTTAAAGATGCAGTCTTTTCATGGTTCTAGAGGATATTCTATCTATAGTTTTGCCCAACTGTCCTAGCACGGCACTTGCAAAAATGAACTTTGGATGGTCGATCTTGGATTCCTACTTTTCTATACTTTTCTTATCTCCTTTTCCTTTCACAGCTTTCTATTCAAAAACCTGCAAGACTGAACTTTAAATGTTAAGATCGTGGGTTCCTTCTTCTCACATCCCATTTTCCTTTCGATGCTACTTTTCTAATGCCATTTTCCTTTTCGAGTTTGCTTTCAAACGGCTCCAAGAATGAACTTTGGATGGGTAGATGTGGAGGAAGGGGCAGGGAGCACCACAAATACATGCTTAATTCCAAGCATCCTTTAAAAATGCAGTCTTTTCATGTTTCTAGAGGATATTCTATCTATAGTTTTGCCCAACTGTCCTAGCACAGCACTAGCAAAAATGAACTTTGGATGATCAATCTTGGATTCCTACTTTTTCTGGACTTTTCTCATCTCCTTTTCCTTTCACAGCTTTCTATTCAAAAACCGAACTTTAAATGGTAAGATCGTTGATTCCTTCTTTTCTCATCCCATTTTCCTTTCGATGCTTCTTTTCAAAAACCTGCAATTTCAACTTTAGATGGTAAGATCTTGCATCCCTACTTTTCTAATGCCATCTTCCTCTTAAAGTTTGCTTTCAAACGGCTCCAAGAATGAACTTTGGATGGGTAGATGTGGAGGAAGGGGCAGGGAGCACCACAGATACATGCTTAATTTCAAGCATTCTTTATAAATTCAGTCTTTTCATGCTTCTAGAGGATATTCTATCTATAGTTTTGCCCAACTGTCCTAGCACGGCACTTGCAAAAATGAACTTTGGATGGTCGATCTTGGATTCCTACTTTTCTATATTGTCCTAGCACAGCACTAGCAACAATGAACTTTGGATGGTCGATCTTGGATTCCTACTTTTCTGGACTTTTCTTATCTCCTTTTCCTTTCACAGCTTTCTATTCAAAAACCTGCAAGGCTGAACTTTAAATGGTAAGATCGTGGGTTCCTTCTTTTCTCATCCCATTATCCTTTTGTTGCTTCTTTTGAAAAACCTGCCATTTCAACTTTGGATGGTAACATCTTGCATTCCTACTTTTCTAATGCCATTTTCCTTTTAGAGTTTGCTTTCAAACGGCTCCAAGAATGAACTTTGGATGGGTAGATGTGGAGGAAGGGGCAGGGAGCACCACAAATACATGCTTAATTCCAAGCATCCTTTAAAAATGCACTCTTTTCATGCTTCTAGAGGATATTCTATCTATAGTTTTGCCCAACTGTCCTAGCACATCACAAAAATAAACTTTGGATGGTCGATCTTGGATTCCTACTTTTTCTGGACTTTTCTCATCTCCTTTTCCTTTCACAGCTTTCTATTCCAAAACCTGCAAGACTGAACTTTAAATGGTAAGATCGTGGATTCCTTCTTTTCTCATCCCACTATCCTTTTGTTGCTTCTTTTCAAAAACCTGCAATTTCAACTTTGGATGGTAACATCTTGCATCCCTACTTTTCTAATGCCATTTTCCTTTTAAAGTTTGCTTTCAAACGGCTCCAAGAATGAACTTTGGATGGGTAGATGTGGAGGAAGGGGCAGGGAGCACCACAAATACATGCTGAATTCCAAGCATCCTTTAAAGATGCACTCTTTTCATGCTTCTAGAGGATATTCTATCTATAGTTTTGCCCAACTGTCCTAGCACATCACTAGCAAAAATGAACTTTGGATGGTCGATCTTGGATTCCTACTTTTCTGGACTTTTCTCATCTCCTTTTCCTTTCAGCTTTCTATTCAAAAACCTGCAAGACTGAACTTTAAATAGTAAGATCGTGGATTCCTTCTTTTCTCATCCCATTTTCCTTTCGATGCTTCTTTTCAAAAACCTGCAATTTCAACTTTGGATGGTAAGATCTTGCATCCCTACTTTTCTAATGCCATCTTCCTCTTAAAGTTTGCTTTCAAACCGCTCGAAGAATGAACTTTGGATGGGTAGATGTGGAGGAAGGGGCAGGGAGCACCACAAATACATGCTGAATTCCAAGCATCCTTTATAAATTCAGTCTTTTCATGCTTCTAGAGGATATTCTATCTATAGTTTTGCCCAACTGTCCTAGCACGGCACTTGCAAAAATGAACTTTGGATGGTCGATCTTGGATTCCTACTTTTCTATATTGTTCTAGCACAGCACTAGCAACAATGAACTTTGGATGGTCGATCTTGGATTCCTACTTTTCTATACTTTTCTTATCTCCTTTTCCTTTCACAGCTTTCTATTCAAAAACCTGCAAGGCTGAACTTTAAATGGTAAGATCGTGGATTCCTTCTTTTCTCATCCCATTTTCCTTTCGATGCTTCTTTTCAAAAACCTGCAATTTCAACTTTGGATGGTAAGATCTTGCATTCCTACTTTTCTAATGCCATTTTCCTTTGAAAGTTTGCTTTCAAACAGCTCCAAGAATGAACTTTGGATGGGTAGATGTGGAGGAAGGGGCAGGGAGCACCACAAATACATGCTTAATTTCAAGCATCCTTTATAAATTCAATCTTTTCATGCTTCTAGAGGATATTCTATCTATAGTTTTGCCCAACTGTCCTAGCACGGCACTAGCAAAAATGAACTTTGGATGGTCGATCTTGGATTCCTACTTATCTATACGTTTCTCATCTCCTTTTCCTTTCAGCTTTCTATTCAAAAACCTGCCAGACTGAACTTTAAATGGTAAGATCGTGGATTCCTTCTTTTCTCATCCCATTTTCCTTTCGATGCTTCTTTTCAAAAACCTGCAATTTCAACTTTGGATGGTAAGATCTTGCATTCCTACTCTTCTAATGCCATCTTCCTTTTAAAGTTTGCTTTCAAACGGCTCCAAGAATGAACTTTGGATGGGTAGATGTGGAGGAAGGGGCAGGGAGCACCACAAATACATGCTTAATTCCAAGCATCCTTTATAAATGCACTCTTTTCATGCTTCTAGAGGATATTCTATCTACAGTTTTGCCCAACTGTCCTAGCACGGCACTAGCAAAAATGAACTTTGGATGGTCGATCTTGGATTCCTACTTATCTATACTGTCCTAGCACAGCACTAGCAAAAATGAACTTTGGATGGTCGATCTTGGATTCCTACTTTTCTATACTTTTCTTATCTCCTTTTCCTTTCACAGCTTTCTATTCAAAAACCTGCAAGACTGAACTTTAAATGGTAAGATCGTGGATTCCTTCTTTTCTCATCCCATTTTCCTTTCGATGCTTCTTTTCAAAAACCTGCAATTTCAACTTTGGATGGTAAGATCTTGCATTCCTACTTTTCTAATGCCATTTTCCTTTTAAAGTTTGCTTTCAAACAGCTCCGAGAATGAACTTGGGGATGGGTAGATGTGGAGGAAGGGGCAGGGAGCACCACAAATACATGCTTAATTTCAAGCATCCTTTATAAATTCAGTCTTTTCATGCTTCGAGAGGATATTCTATCTATAGTTTTGCCCAACTGTCCTAGCACGGCACTAGCAAAAATGAACTTTGGATGGTCGATCTTGGGTTCCTACTTATCTATACGTTTCTCATCTCCTTTTCCTTTCAGCTTTCTATTCAAAAACCTGC